AGGGATACATGTCCCACCCACTGACTCAGCAGTCCTTGACATTCTGTGTGTCTTTTCCATTGTCTGGGAAAGATGGAAAGAAAGCCTTTGAAGCTGTGCTTTTATCCCAAGGCCTGAAAGGCTGGAAAGAGCCCCTTAGTGCCTAAAGGAAGAAGCACATTATACCTTTGGGTCCCATTAATACGTTTGGGTTTTCACACCCCCTTCCTGGAAAGTTAGCACCACCTTTATCTGTGAATCAATATGTAACTTCTTCACCCTCCTCCATCCTGCCAACTATGTAAGTCCTCAAAATAAAGGATGTTTCTCTTGCTCTTGACCTCTTGCTCTGGCCACCCCTGTGCTTGCCACCCTGGCCTTCGGCTACGCTTACCCTGCTTTGCCCTGAACCTATGCATTTCATCCCCCCACATCCACCTTACCTAGGCCCGAGAATGGATCACCGGTAAACCCTGCTTGCATGCTAATAGACTTGCTCATCTGTAATTCTTTTACTGCCTTGATGAGAAGACCAAGTTTCTCAGAGTTTCCTGTAACAAGACCACAGCGGGCACACAGCAGGCTCTCAGTCAATATTTATTGAACGAATGGATGGGGATGATGCCATCTGCTAGTAAATACTAGCTAACAAAAACCCTGGAGGTGGTGTGGATGCTGGGTTTCATAAGAAAACTCACAGTTGACAGCCACTTGAGCTCATCTAAACCTCAGGCAGTGTGCAAGGGGCTTCTCCTGCACCACTTTATTGGACGCCCTTATGAATCCTAGAAGGTGGGTGTTACTAAGGTATCCTTCATACAGAAAAGGAAATGGAGGCATAGCGAGGGCAGGCTCTGGCCCCTGGTCACCTGGCCGTAAGATGAGGCAGCTGGTTTGGAAGCACTGCCACACTCTGGGGTCTGGGCCCAGAGTGGGGCTGCCTCATGCCCACTGGTAACTTGTGGGTTCTTGACTTTGTTTAGGAAAGATTTTACAACACTGGCCCAGGTGATTTTGAGAGTACTGTGGAAGAAAAGGGGCCACATATTAACCTGAGAAGCTCAGGGGAGGCCTGCAAGGCAGCCTTACAAACTCAGGGACCTAAAGTAACCACAAAGGATGGTCTGAAATTAAAACTTATTAACTAAAAGCAGTTCATGGCAGGTAGTCAATCTTTACCTTAACTAAGCCTGTCTATTGTCTTTTTGCATCTATGATAACATACCTTTGGAATGTCAAGGTAACTTCCCTTTTTTCCCAGCCCCCTCGGGCACCAGCTGAGACCACAAACCCTCTCCTTGTATTGTTATCATGCTAATTGTTGACTGTTAACTACCCTGTACTCACCTGTATGGTATCCTGTATGTAAAAGAAGTATGTGTCAGTTGATTTACCTTTCATCCAATCCCAGAGGTTTCCCTGCTTTGCTTTTTCCTGCCTCCTCTAATCTATCACCAGTGCATTTCATGTAACCCCTTTATGGCTCCTCCTTTGATTCTAATGTATAAAATAAGGTAAATAAATAAAGATAAATAAAATAAATGCCATTCTCCTGAGCATTTCTCAATCTGTTGAGATATTGCTTCCTGGCGATTGTCGTCAGCTTGGGTCAAATAAACTCACCAAAAATTCTGTGCAGGTTTGAATGTTTCTTACTTTGACAGCACATGTATTAAAGCTAGGGACAGTGAAACAGAGGAAGGACTTAGGGTAGAAAAAGCAACAGGAGAGAATGTAGGTGGGGCTGCTTTGCCTCTTTAAGAAACAGAAGTCACAGTAAAACAAGTGAGCCCACTGGAAGGTCAGAGAAAAGGGGCTTGGAGACAGGTTCAGGGGTTAGCTAGGGATGAGAGACCCCTGTGCACTGCGCCCCCCCCTCCCCACCCTGCCGGGCTGCACATCTTGTGGGGTCCTTAGAGCTCAGGAGCTTCAGGCCCCTGGGGGAGAAAGAGGGAGAACGAAGAGGTGTGGAGTGTGCTCCAGGGAGGGAGATCTCACCCTGGATTCTTTGTCTTGAGGCTTTTTATCTTTCTTTGGCCACTGGCTGGAATCCTAGAGGAGGTCTCAGGGGAGGGTCTTAACAGAATGTTCATTAGCTTTTCAGGTGTCTCTTTCAATATGTTGATTCATTAAAATGTGTGCACAAAGGGTCAGGGTTATTTTTATGGTTAGTTTTGTTTTTTATAAGATTTTATTTATTTTTAGAGAGAGGAAGGGAGGGAGAAAGAGAAAAACATCAATCTTGAAGGAAACATCAGCCATCAGTTGCTTCTCGCACAACCGCAATCCCAGACCTGGCCTCCAACCCTGACGGGGAATCAAACCAGATGTTTTCTGGTTGGCAGGATGACACCCAACCCACTGAGCCACACCAGTCAGGGCCTGGTTCATTTTATTTTCAAAGAATGTTATTGAAGAGGGACTGGGACCAAGGCCGGTCTGAACCGGGATGGTCTGGAAAGTGTAGACTATTTGTTCCTAAGTGTCCTTGGTTATAGAGGATAAAACCTTGTGATTCATTAGCTGGCTATATATTGCTCAGATTGTTTGCCCTTGTTTAATTATTTTGTCTCAGTTTCCCTTATTCCACTTGTCCAGGAATTCCCTAGCTTCTTACTATCCTACTTCAAAGTGAGTTCATAGCCCTCTGCTCTTCTGCCTAGAAGCAAGTTCTTTCTCAGGTGGGGATGCATGTTTGTTTGGGAGTCTGGAAAACCAAAGCTGCTTTTTATTTTTTTAAAGATTTTATTTATTTACTTTTTAGAGCGAGGGAAAGGGAAGGAGAAAGAGGGAGAGAAACATCAATGTGTGAGAGACACACTGATCAATCGCCTCTTGCAGGCCCCCAACTGGGGAACCCAGCCTACAACCCAGGCCTATGCCCTGACCAGGAATGGAACCAATGACCTGAGCCAGAGACCTTTGGTTCACAGGCAGGTACCCAATCCACTGAGCCACACTATAAAAGCAGCCAAAGTTGCTTTTTATAAAGCCTTTTTAAGTATTATAAACTAAGATCATTTTCTTATGTTTGTGTTTTGTATCTATTATGCAAGTGCTATGAGGGTGTTTACAATATCCTAGAAACAACTTTCAGGTTTTGAGAGGTGGATATTCTGTCATATGCTCTATGTCCCATGTGGGCAGGTGGATGGCATTAGGGATCCCCTCACTCTGCATGGACTTGCAGGCTCCAGTTTCTCCTGCAGTCATTTCCCACCCTGGTTTGGTAACTTAAGCCTTCTGAAAACAATTGGTGTCAGGCTCCAGTGACTAATCCATCTGAACTCAAGGAGAATAGGGAGGTAAGGCATAACTGTCCCTAGTCTGGTTATGCATCTGTCTTGGTAAACTTTTGTTTCTGAGGCAATGTGAAAGAAATCTTGATGCATACAGAGTGCCAAGTGGATATTAAATTCTGGCTCCTGAGTCCCCAAGAAAACTACAACTCAAAAGCAAGTCAAGCCCTGGCTGGTGTAGCTCAGTGAATTGAGTGCAGGCTGTGAATCAAAGGGTCACGGGTTTGATTCCTGGTCAGGGCACTTGCCTGGGTTGTGAGCCGGGTCCCCAGTGGGGGCCACGTGAGAGACAACCACACATTGATGTTTTTCTCCCTCTGTCCCTCCCTTCCTCCACTCTAAAAATAAAATAAAATAAAACAAAACAAAACACAAATCAAGCCCTGGCTGATGTGGCTCAGTGGATTGAGCCCTGGCCTGCGGATTGAAAGGTTGCCGATTCAATTCCCAGTCAGGGCACATGCCTGAATTCTGCAAGAAAGAACAGGTCAATGTATTTCTTGTGCATTGATGTTTCTATCCCTGTCTTAAAATAAATAAAAATTATTTAAAAAAATACAAGAAAAGAAAAAAGTGCAAGTCAGACTCGTCGACAGGATCCAGGAAAGTTCCTGTGGTCCTGACAACTTAGTTTCAGGAAAGCTTCCAGGGGTGGCAGCAAAGAGTAGACAGAGGAGGCTAACTCCCAAAGGAAAGACCTCCCCCAACCCTGAGTGTTTTAATTTAGATTCTCAAATATGACTAAAATGTCACATAAGGATGATCAGCTGTGATTTTCCACTTTGAAACAAAGCAAGACAATGGGTTCGAAGAGCCCTCTAGCCCAAGGACTGGGTTTTAGCTGGTTTTTCTACCCTGGAATCTAATTTTGGTGCCTGTCTGACACTAGTCTGAAATCAGCACCACGGACAGGGGCTGGGTCCATAATGAAGTTAAAGGTCTTTGGCAAATACTCAATTATTGTCAGAACTTCAGCTGACATGTTTAGATATACTCACACTGGTGTAGAACACAAGGGAAGAACGACAAAATGTGATAAGAGAAATGTTGACAGGTCAGCTTCCCCTTTCCACTGCATGGGAACAGCCCCTGTGTCACCTGACATCCCCGCTCTTACGGTAGCAGGTAATATTTACCTGGGACTTACTACGTCACAGGTGCCGTTATCAGTACTCTACAAATGTGAGCCACACAGCAGTGGAGCTAACACTGAGGTAGGTGCTCTGATTATTCCAATTGTACTGATGTGGAAAAAGAGTCACAGAGACACTAAATGATTTTGCCCAGGGACACTGAGCTAATTAGTGGGACAACTGGGACTGGGACTCAGGCAGCCAAGGTGCAGGACACACAGTTCACCATTATGCTACACTGCCTTTTGTAAAATGACATGACTGTGATGTGAGGTCACTTCACGATACCACAGAGATTTTTGCATAGGATGTGAAGATTTTATGCACTGCCTTTTGTGCTTCTATTTCTAGTTCTAGGTCAGAACTGAACTTACTTTTCAAGACCCTTATTCCTTCCATTGGGGAAGATGCAACAGTTGACAGCTGAACAAATTGTTAAGGCTCAAAGTTTACAGGTCTCTTTAGAGTCTGTGTTGAATGGGTTGAAGACTCAGAACAAAGCCCTAGAAGTTGTCCAAAAGGCTGAGAAACAAGACTCAACTCCCCACTCAACTGCACTCTAAATTTATTCATTGCTTCTATGCCTGGATCCATCCCACCCCCCTCCCCTGGCCCTGCACCCTGAGGGGACAAAGCTGGCGTGCTTTGCTCTCAGCCTTCTCCTTCTCAGGGTGTGACCCAGGACTTCAGGGGGAAGGATGAAAGGTGTTGGTTTTATCTTCCTGGGTTGGCAGGAACGGAGCCATCCACATGAGTGGCTGTTGGTGGTGTCGTTGTGGCTTTCTGTAGCTCTCTGTTTGCTGGCGGGTACTGTGCCAGAACGTAGAGGAAGCCACCCAGGGCCGCCACGGCCATGGCTGTGTTGTGGGAGGAGCAGCCATCTGGGAGGGAGACAGAGTCCCCCCATGAGTGCTGGGTTGAGTGCTTTTCAGATATTCCCCCAACCAGCCTGGTGCCCACAGCTCCACTTGTTGGGCATCCATCCGCCAGCTGAGTGTGTTGGCTGCTAATGGCTCCCTTCTCCAGAGAAGTTTCTTCAGACATCCTCCTATGAAGGGAGGAGGTGTAACTTCCCACACCAACAGCCCTATGAAGGATGCACTCTTTGGTCCTCATTTTACAGATGAGGAAACTGAGGCTCAGAGAAATTAAGTGATTCCCATAGTGAATAGGGGCAGAAGCAGATTCGAACCCAGACAGCCTGACTTCAAATCCTGTGCTCTTAATCTCCATGAGTGTGTGTTGTAAGCAGAAAAAGGAGCACATCACTCCCTCCTGGGCAGTTTTCTAGGTTGCTGGTCAACCTTCAGGGGTCCCAGAAAGGGGCTTGGGCTTCAGAATTTCTCCAGCTCCCTCTCCAGCTCTCAGGGGTTAGAGAGCAGCCAGTTCCCAGGGTGTGTACTGCAGGCTCCCTACCACCTGCCACAAGTAGTCCCAGACCCCTCTGTGTCGGGCAGGCCTGGCCAGGGCAGGGGACCTCTAGGAATCTCCTGAGAAAGTCTTCTCCTTGCCCTGCCCAACCCCTGGGGGGAGCTGCAAAATGGACCCATTGGATTTTCGATTCCACTCCTCTCTTGTCTGTCTGCAGGTAGATGATGGGGCTGTGGTGGGGTTGATGGTGAGATGTTCCATTACTGAAATCATCCCCCAACATATGCTGGACATCTACGATGAGCTGGCTTTCCTCTTCCCTTCCTGCTTTTGCCCAGCAGTGGTTTATTTTTGTTAATAAAAAGATTGACATCAAGTCCTCCCTTCTTTCTCCTTCCCTCCCTCTCTCTATCCCTTTATTCCATATTACATCTTGCCTTTCTCCTTTCCAATACAGTTATATCCCATTCTCAGTCTCTCTGCATTGGTGGGCTGACCAAATAACAATTTCAACCAAGACACTTTGGGGAGGAAAAGGAGCACTGTCCAGGACAATAGGTGTAAGTTGGGGACACCAGGACATGTGGCCCCTGGGACTGTGCTAGTTACTTGCATGTTGGCTCTCAGATTCCTTCCCTGCTCTTCTTTGCTCTAAATCCCAGTGCACTGACCTCTTCAAACTACATTTCCCAGGCTGCCTTGCCCACCAACAGTAGGCACAGGTGGAGCTAAGGTAGAAGCTGAGGCATTTCTCCCCCTCTCTGGCTCCTCTAGTCCAGGCCCTGAATATTCAGCTAACAGCCCCCTCCCCACAGCTGTCTCCAGGGAGGGCAGTGGTATCCTGAAGTGGTTCATCTCAGGGTTTTCTCACTGTTACCGTTTTCAGTTCCTGCCACACCTCTCCTCTGAGGCATGTTCCCTGTATTCGGTTCCCTCTTGGGAAGTTTCTCAGGCGGATTGTTCTCCTGATTAGACTTTGATGGAGAGGTGCTCTCTCTGTGATTTTCAGCAATACACTGAAACTTCTCTTTCATGTTCCTTTCACTGAGACAATATCTCTGGACTCCCCACTTTGCAAGGGGAGGGTACCAGGGACTCCTACTCCTCTCCCCAAACACAAGGGCCCTTCAGTGATGCGGGGGCCTGTTTTCCATTGAGGGCCCCCATGTGTAGCCTTTCTGCGCAGTCTCTGTTTCGTGCCAAGAAGCCCGGTGGGTATTTTGTTACCTGCAAATTGTTTTTCTCGCCTCTTTACTCTTCTCAAGTAATGTTGTTGGTGTTGAATGACTTTAGATAATTCCTCATCTTCAGCATCTGGGAGAGGAGTGAAAGATGAACTTCTCAAGATGGATTTTTAAACATTACTTGCTAAACCTCCCCCTCACAACACCCCAAGTAACTCAGGTCCTCTCTTGGATCTGGAGGCTCTTCCAGAAGTTTCCTCAAGCACCTGTCTGCAGACCCTTCCACATGGCCTAAATTTGTCATCTACTGGTATTTCTCAAATTGAGGTCCCTCAACCACCACCTCAGCCAACATCAGAATGGCCAGAGGAGTGCATTAAAAATGCAGGCTCATGGCTTTGACTAGTGTGGCTCAGTTGGTTGGGTGTCACCCAGCAAAATGAAAGGTCGCCAGTTCAATTCCTGATTAGGGCACTTGCTTGGGTTGCAGGTTCAGCCCCTGGTTTGAGATGAGCGTGATAAGCAACTGATCGATGTTTCTTTCATTCTCTTTCTCCTTCCCTTCCCCCCTCTCTCTAACAAATAAAATAAAAATAAAAATGCAGGTTCATGAAACTAAATGATATTGTATATCAAGTGTAATTAAGAAATAAATTTAAAATATTTAAAAAATGCGGGTTCTACAACTCCAACTCTACCCGCTGAATCTACAAGTCTGGGGCCTGAGAATCTTCACTTCATGAACTCCTCGGCTTCAAAACAGACTCTCTTATTTCAAAAGCTTTGCCTCCTTGAGCACCACAAACTTTTCATTTAGGACGCCAGCATTTATTGGTAGCCTCCTCTGTACCCAGGAGGTTTCCCATGTATTATGTCTGTTCCTCACAATTTAGAAAGGAGACTATGATGCCCATTTATTTACAGTAGGGGAAATTGAGGCTCAGAGAGGTAAAGCAACGTACTCCAATGAGGACCAGCTGTCCAGTGTCTCACAGCTGGACAGGGACTGCATCTTCCACCCTTTGCTTCCACGTCACCCGCTCCCAGACATCTCCCCTGACCACTCTGCCTAAAGAACCTTCCCTGATGTTCTTTTCCTTTTCAGCATGGGTCTCCTTCACAGCACTTTCAGAGCTCACAATTATTCCACTTACTGTTTTTTTTTTTAGGTGTGTTTGCCTCTTTTCCTCAGTGCCCTAGTTTATCTGGAGCCTAGAACAGTGCATGGCCACAGTAGGTGCTCAGGGAATACTCGGAGGAATGAATTTGTTAATGCAGGTGCAAGGGGCCAACATCTTCCAACATTACTGCTTCCTCTCCTGCAAGGTTTTGGCTTCCAAAGTTTTCAGCCCATTTCCACCTGTGTGTGGTCTGTGTGTGTGCATGCACTTGGGTGCTGCAGATCTCTTTTTGTGTCCCTAACAGCACTGCATCCTTTCCTCACCTAGCCTAGAACATGCTGACCCCCACCACCTTCTGCTCCCAGCCAGGTCCAGAGGGTAGCTCACCAGGCATCCCAAAGCATCCTTCCTGCGGCTTCTGCCAGCTGAGAATGGCCTCCAGCCACCGAAGCTTGTAGAAGTCAGAGAAGCCACCAATTCCACAGAGCATGACTAGAAGTCAACACAGGGGACTCTGTGCAGCCCTGCTCCCACAGGTCCACCTCCTGCCACTCCCCAAGGCCACTACAGTGCCATTTGCCTCCTCCTGCTGGGGCCAGGCAGTGCCAGGAGGAGGGTGCTCAATGCAGTGGCTGGAAGGAGGCAGCCCTGAGATTGTGCATTAGTGAGCGGCAGCTCCCATGCCTGGTGCTTGCCTCCCACTTAGGGCCTTGTTAGAAGTGACTCAAGAGTCAGGGACAGGAGAGGGATGTGGACACCGAAGCCAAGGAATGACCACCCGGGGGCCCCCTCATCTCTAAGGCTTTGAGGGCCTGTTTGCCAGTCAGTCAGTCAGTCCATCCAGAACTTTGTCACTGGGTCAGCCTTTGGGGGCAGGAAGCAGTCAACACAGTGGCAGATAAAGTACAGGATGCCCAGTTAAATTGGAGCTTCCAATAAACAACAAATTAAAAATTTTAAATACAAGTATAACTTATGCAATGTTTGAGATACATTTATACTAAAAATTATTCATTGTTTTTATGAAGTTCAGATTTACCTGGGCATCGTGTATTTTTATTTGCTAAATCTGGCATCCTTACTCTGCGTGTGTGTGCCCATTATCAGGGACACCCTGTTACTTTGTCCCCAGACAGCAATGCGCACTGTTTTCCATGAAGATATCCCGGCTAGGGTAGGCGTATCCGATGGCTTCAACCCTCTGGTTCAGGTCCATCATGTTGGCACAGAACAGGTTCATGTAGTGCTGGCTCTGGTGGAACAGCCCGTTCGTGCATCCCTTCTGCGGGGACAAAGGAAGTTGGTGGTACAGGTGACAGATGGGTGCTCTGTTACAGGAAAAGACTTGCATTTCTGAGATGGTCCTGCAAGAAGCTACCTTTGGGTCAGGTCTTTTCCCTTTCCCCAGAATTTCTTCCCCACCCACACTCCCCACCTGCTGGAAGCTCAGTCACTGGGGCTCAGAGAGACCTGGGTTTGAGTCCTGGCTCTGCCACTTGGGAGCTGCGTCACCTTGGCCTGCTAAATCAACCTTTTGGAGCTTCAAGGGTCTCCCCTTGAACAGTGAAAGGGTAATGCTGCTGGGAGCTGCACGAGAAAGGTGCTCACACAGGTGGGTGAGACTATCCTGGGAAGTGCACTGCAGGATGCCCCACACTAGGAGGCACTCTTGCCACTTGCTGTTGTTAGGACATTCTGATTCTTGACTGACTGGTCTGACGGCCTCAGCGCTACTCAAAGGGTGGGCCATGGCTGCTGGGAGAGGACGGGAGATGAGAATAGGTTTGAGAAACATCTACAGCAATGTGTCAGGATAACTTTCTACCTGTTGAATCTAATAGTCAAAATAATTTCCCTCATAATTTGGTTTTTATTGTATTTACAAAAATACTGGTCCATGCTGATTTGCAAATAAATAATAATAAAAGAACCTGTTAAAGAAAACCAGTAAGTCCCTTTTCAGATAAAATTTCTCGACATTTCATTCCATTTTTGAGTAGAGATAATGAGCCCTACCTTTCTATATAAACAAATGCGGATGTTTGTAAGTGATCATTTATCATCACTTAGCAAAGTCTGACATCTGGGGCTTGGAAGCGCATTGGGCATCGGGCACTTGTGGGGTGGAGCCTGTTTGGTCTTGATTTGGTCTCCTGGAAGCAGCTATCAACTTTATTCTAAGTCCTTTTCCATTGTTGGTTTTACTAAGTTCTTCCTGTTGCTTCTCTTTGACTCTCTTTTTGTTTTCTGATGCCCTGTGACCATGTTCAGCATGCAAAGCTCTCTGTCTAACAGAATCTTGAATCCACACCCCCAACCAGCTTGGTTAGATTTTACAGCCATTGGGCAGTAGGCTACTACTCTCACTTCTCCGTCCTGATGTTCAAAGCACAGGTCCAAAAACCCGCTTATTTTCCCAGTGTGCAGCATAAAAAAACACACTGCCAAGAGCTCCTTTATCTTCCTTCACCTCCTCAGGGTGTGGCCGGGCCCACACCAGGCACTCACCATTCTGGCGGAGAGGAAGAAGAGCAGCTGGTGGGATAGGCTGTAGCCTGAGCAGCCAGGCTTGGTCATGAGGGTCCTGCAGAAGTCGGAGAGTCTGCAGGGCTGGCTGCCGTTGGTGCTGGGGGAGAGGTGGTCCAGGCTGTGAGGGGTGTCCCAAAGGAAGCCCGAAGGCCTGGAGCCTCCCTGGTCCTGATTCCCCCGCTAGTGGTTAGAACCCAGTGGGTTCCAGGCAGCCGGCTGGATGCAAGGGACTGCTAGGTAAAACACAGGTGTCTGTTCTGATTGGCTAGGTTGGCATCCCCGGCACAGGAAGGTGACTTGGAGCTATTTTGGGCTGGAGGAGCCATGGGGGCTGTAACTTCCCATTGCTCCACGGGAACTCTTGAGTCCAGACAGTCTGGTCCCAATGTGACCATTCCCCCTGTACCAGGCTCGCCCCATAAAAGGGAATGTGGCAACAGGGTGGGTCCCTTGCCAGGTGAAGCTCTGGCCCTCTATGAGCCCAGCCGTGTGTCCTGACACAAATCCCTCTCTAAAGGAGGTTGAGAGAATGGGGGCTCGAGCACCTGCTGCCCCAGTGCCCATGGGTCCCTGCATCTAGGGCTCTCCTGGGGAATATGCTCTAAGGCAGGGGTGTCAAACTTATTTTCACCAGGGGCCACATCAGCTTTGCTGTTGCCTTCAAAGGGCCGAATGTAATTTCAACTCCTCAACAATTAAGGGGTAGTTTCATTTATACAGTCCTAAAATGATTTCGGCCCTTTGAAGGCAACTGCAAAGCTGATGTGGCCCCCCGTGAAAATGAGTCTGACACCCCTGCTCTAAGGCTGCAGCTCAGCAGGATAAAATGGGGAGCTCATCTAGGCTTGAGTACTGCTTTCCAGACCTACAGCCGGGTGTGGGAAACAGAACCATAAAACAAATGTGTATTGCACTTGTGGCTACCAGTGGGGTTAGGAGAGGCAGCCCATCACGGGAGGTCAACCTTGTGCAGTGGGGTCAGGGAAGGTTCTGGAGGTATCTGGAGGTAAGTTGCAGGAGCTAGTCCTCAACTGTAAGCAGTTACTTAGGCACAGGGGTGGGGGTTCAGGGGTGGGGTGGGAGGAGACCCCATAGAGCCATATTCTTGGCAAAGGGGTGGGCTTATGTGGGAGAGTACCACTCAGGGTTGGACCAGAGGGGCCTGAGGATCTGGAAGAGCAGTAGGATGCAGGGCTTTGTCCTGAGAACAATAGGAAGCTTCACACTGGGGGTGCAGTATTCAGGTGTGGTTTTTGACAGCATCCCTCTGGTGTGGGGAGACCAGTCAGGAGGTGAGGGCAGGAGTGCAGAGGTGGGGCTGGCTGGACTAGGCGGGCAGCCTTGGGTGGAGAGTGGGAGCCAACTCACATGCGACACAACTGGGAGAGGGTGGCGTCAGAGTGGCTCCGGGGAAGCTGCTCCTGACTTTGTATAAACCCTTGGGGGCTTGGAGAGTTACTTGAACAGGGGGACCAATGGAATGAAAGGACTTCCAGGTTTTGGGAAAGCGGGGCAGATACAGGGAACCCACCTAGTTCCCAGCAGCTGCACCAGGCACAAGTCACTTTGTTCCTCTGAGAAGGTCTCTTGGGGTTCAAGTTTGGGGTACACCATGGAGGCATTGGTGTGTGTCCAAACACGTGGGAGCTTCCAAAATCCGGGCTGGATGGTGGGCTGGAACTCTGGCAGAGAGGAGGGAGTGGGAAAGAGCCCCAGGAGCAGTGGGCCATGCTATGCTCACCACCTATGCCCCAGGCTCTTGTGGCTCAGAGCCAGGGAACTGGGTGAGCCTCCCTGGGCATCCCTGACCACACACGGTGTCTGCACAGGGCTCTGAGTCTTGCTGCTGTCTGGGCATCGCGTTTGAAACACTCAAGGAGTTCTTTTTCTAAACAAAACAAAAACTATTTAAAAAAATTACTAGAACAATGTTGTTGGGACTGGTTTTAGCTAAATCCACTGCATCCGTGGAAGCTGGAGATGGATAAAGAGGGTTAGCTGGTTCCTTCAGTTCAGTTAGAAAGTGAAGCTCTTACAACTGGGATACCCAGTCAAGGGGCTCCTTTAGGGTGACAAGAGCTGTGAGGGTCTTAGGGACCAGGCCTGGGAGAGGGTGGAGGACCTCCCCTGCCGAGAGCCAAGCCAGGGCTGGGGAGGGCTGGGCTGTGGTCATGAGCAGTGGGGCCTGACATAAGTCGGGAACCTGGGAGGCAGGGTCAGATGAGCAGGGTGGACTGGTTTTATAGTCTCCACTCCCCACCCCTTGAACAATTCAGGCCAGGCTTATAGGATGGGGCCCTTGTTGGGGTAGGTAACTTAAGGCTGACTAGGAGAACAAACTCCTAGTTTTATAAGGCACAAGAGGGACTCTAATATTTGCTGTGCGAAGGGCTGAATTACCATTTAGATTCCTGCCACCCACGCCCTCTGGTCTAGGACGAAGGTCTCCAAGCCAGGACACAAGTTGAACAAACGAGAGGCGACACGTTCCCACTTCCCACCCGCTCTGTGTGGGTGGGAGAGACCATCCCAGTCTGAGGTCAGGCATGAACAGACGCTCTCCGGGGGCAGCCTGTGGTGCACTTGGCCCAACAGGACTCAGTTGGTTGTGGTTACAAGCTGTCCCGGACCCTCCCTTTGCATCAGAGTGGCCACACTAGGTTATTTCTGTGAATGTCCCCAGAGGCTGTGTTCCTGAAGAAACGAGATCCAGCCCATGCCATTACCTGTTAGGTACTGGGGATCACTCAGCTTGAGGTAGAAAATGGATCTGTGGAGGAGAAGTGCCAGCTTTTGCACCAGCTTCCCTACACGCGAGCTGGGCGGCTGCAGCTGGGGGTCCCGGGCCCACTCCTTCTGCACGCCGTCTAGCTGCACTGGGAGGGAGCAGAGTGCACTCATTTTACCATCAGACAAGCCATGTGGGTAGGAAAAAAGATCCTAAGATATTAACACCTACTGAGTCTCTGTGCCTCCTCCAGCTCCTGAGGGGAAAGAATTTGCTGAGCTTATTGGAAATTGGGCCCCTGTGGGGCTCGGCTGGGTGGTGGGGATAGGGCCAGAGTGAGAAGGATTTGGGTGGCTAAGATATATGGGGGTGGGTTGGGTTCAAGTTCTGACTGATGCTTTTTTGTCGGGTAACAAGAGAGTCACTTATTTCTCTCCACTTTCTTCATCTGTAAGACAGGGATAATGATAGTCCTTACTTCTCGGAGGAGGGGGTTAAAGGAATAATTAAGGTGCGCTCTGCCTCTTGGGAGCATGCCACACCTTTCTCTTCCTACTTTTCTTCCTCCCAGGTGCCTTATCTCTGCCTTTCTCCCTCCTGAGCTCCACGGGCCTTTCTTTTGCTTCTGTTACTTGTTTCCTGAGCCTACACACCGCAGCTGGCTCACTTCTACTACCTCTGTAACTTTCTGAATAAACTCTCTACGTTGAAAGAATTACTTGAGCTGATGCATGAGAGGACTTAGCATTGTTCATAGAGCAAAGTGAGCATTTCATAAAGTGTAGCTATTGGTGTTAGTTCGGGAGTCTTAGGGTTGTTACACAGGAGAGAACAACGAGGAGGGGGGTCAGAGTGTGGGGTGAAGAACCTTGTGCAGTTGGAGGAGCTGTGCAAGGACGACACATTCCTGTCCCGGGTTTGCACAAGGATGGAGACAATTTTCCAGCAGGTGGCAGTGAAGTGACTTGAGGAAGGAGGAGCCTTCCTCTAATTCTCACAAAGGTGCCCTATGGACGGACTAGCAGTGGCCCTGCTGTGGTTGGAGAGAATGGCGGTGGCCAGAACGAAGGGAGCTGTCTTTGCCCCAGAGCCCCTCCTCCTGGGGGGACCTGGAGTCCTGGTGGGCCGAGAGCTATGCTGGCAACGCAGAGGGGGCCAGCCAGAGTGCCAGGCTGATTGATACCCAGTTGGCTCTTTGTCCCTTAGGGTGGCCTGTGGGGAGGGGCTTACTGCAACTCATGGGGTGTGTGTGGGCTGGCTCCCTGTTTGCCTTGGCCTGCCTCCAGTCCCCTCCTTGGGGATCTCACATTTCTCAAAGCTGGACAAACGCTTGGCTCTTTTCTCAGAGCCTCCAGGCAGCTTTGGCTAGAAGTGGGCGGGACTGGGGCTGGAACCGACCTTTGGGGTCCCTGGTTTTTTCCATGGCGGCCCTCCCACAAATACCCCTTCAAAGGGCACACACCCTCTGCCCACCTTGTTCATGGCATGTCAGGAGGGAGGGACAGTCAAATGGATCACTTCCTCCTGGGAAAATAATAATTTCCTAACTTTTCCCATGTGGCCTTTGAATCCATCTGCTTCTAAAAAATGTGATAAGGGCAGGGCCCCCAGCCACCCAAAAGAAGCAAGTCACCCCCCACCCCTCTTTCCTTGCAGTAAAACTAGAAGGTGGCCAAGTCCCAGAGGTTCAGAGCAGGCAGGTGACTGACTGAGAACTGGTTTTCCAGATGGCCAGTCCTGGGGAAGGGGAGCACACCCACCTTCCAGCACCCGGAACCCCACCACGCCATCCAGGTTGATTTCGGGCAGCCTCTTCTTCAAGAAGGAGGTGGCTCTCTCCAGTGCTGAGAGGATGAGGTCAGCGATGGTAGCCTTGCCCTCTGGGGTGTCCAGCGGTGGCAATGAGGAGGACCACAGTGGCGGTGCCAGCAGCAAGAGCAGGAGCAGGAGCCCCAGGCTGGACATGGCTGGTTTCTGCTTGAGGCTGGCGGAGTGCTTCAGCCCAGGCCAACCCCCGTCCCACCTCTTCCTGCATCCTCCTCCCCTTCCCCCTGAAGAGCTGCAGAGGAGTGGCTGGGCAGGGCTGACCCAGCAGCTGGGTTGGCCTGGACAGAGGGCCCTGGGAAGGGCAGCTGCAGGGGGCTGGTCCGAGTGGGGTGGGGGCTTGGGGAGGGGCATCAGGCCAGGCCTGCAAGTGGAGCCAGCTGGCCAAGGGCTGGGTAGGGGGTCTCCCACCCTTTCCTTCTCACCAGTTTTCCAGGCCCACAGGCTACATCTTTGATCTAGCAATTGCAATCACATGCAGAAATCCCAAAGCACTGACATACAAAGTTGCTGTTGTTGTTTTAAATAAGTTTGGAATAAACTCACTTGAGGGCACACCTGCCCAAATGATGGAAGATTCCTTAGGGCAGCATCTGTCCAGTAGAAACAGAATATCAGCCACAAAATTAAGCCACATGGTCACTTACAAATTTTCTAGTAGCCACATTAAAAAAAAGCTAAGAAGCAGCCCTGGCTGGTGTGGCTCAATGGATTTAGCACTGGCAGGCAAACCAAAGGGTCACCAGTTTGATTCCCCATCAAGGCATGTGCCTGGGTTGTGGGCCAGCTCCACAGTGGGAGGTGTGTGAGAGGCAGCTGATGGATGTATCTCTCACACATTGGTGTTTCTCTCCCTCTCTTCCTCCCTCCCTTCCCCTCTCTCTAAAAGTAAATAAATAAAATCTTTTTTAAAAAGGTGAGAAGCTGGAGAAATGAATTTTAATGACTTATTTTATTTAATCTAGTAGATCCAAAATATTACCTTTTCAACTTGTAATCAATAAAAAATGACTAATTTTTTACATTCTTTTAAAAATATTATTTTTCTCATATGAAGTCCTTGAAATCTGGGGGTGTTTGCACTCAGGGCACAATCCAAGTCTGGTCGGCTGCATCTCAGAGCCCAAAGCCACACGTGCTCCTGTGCTGGGCGAGGACGTAGAGGCCAGAGGGAGCCGCTCGCTCGGTGGGGAAGCGCGTTTGCTCCCTGTCGACATTTCAGTGGGTCACTGGGTGCCGCCCCAAACCTGGCCCGGCTGTCGCGGGTACACATGCCACATTACCTTTCTAAAACCCCAAAAATTCTGAGTTCAGAAACGTACCTGGCCCCAGGGCTGCAGTTAAGAGATTACAGGTCCGTAAAAATAATAAAAATACCACTACACAAATGTGCCTCTGATGCCCCGTGTGGGCAGGCTGTAGGTCAGGGTTTCTCAACCTTTTTATTTCATCCTTGCCCTTCCCCGCATCTCCGATTCTCAACCTTTTAAGTCATTTTTTCCTGGACGTTTAAGAATAATAAATGTATTGAGATATAATCCACATGCCATAAAATTCATCCTTTTAAAGTGTACAGGCAGTATCTCTGGAAGTATATTCACAAAGTTTTGCAGTCACCAACAGTGTCTTATTTTTGAATATTTTCATCACTGCCAAAGGAAACGTCACACCATCAGCAGTCACTCCTCATTCCCGCCGCCCCTCAGTCCTCCAGCCCCGGGCAGACCACGAGTCGACTTTCCACTCCCACGGGTTTGCCTATTCTGGACATTTCAGGAAACGGACTCATACAGTACATGACCTTTTGTGTCTGACTTCCTTCACTTAGCACATTTTCTCTCTTTCCTTCTGTGGCAGTTTCATACCTTTATTCGACAATCAGCGGTTGGTCCTCATCCACATGAACTCTTTGTAGATTTTTGAAAGTGGGGACAAGTACATGGGCGACCCAAAGTATACAGTTTGGTGAATCTGCATCCTCATTATGTTTTCTGGACAACTGTACCCCGGTACGGTACGGGCTCTTTTTGATTCCTTTGGCCCAGATGGCTTTGTTGAACCTGATGTTAATGTGTGCATCTGGAGTTCCCATCTTCTTCGCAGCAAATTTCTGGATCTCTTTGAGTGCCTGAGGGGCACGCTTCTTGAAACCCGCTCCATGGGTGCGCCTGTGAGTGTCGATGGTGTGTTTTCTGGTCACTGTCTTGTTGATGGCAGAAGGGCCCTTCTTTTCACACCACTCTCCTTTGCGGGAGCCATTATGCCGGGCTCCAGCTGGAGAGAAAGAGTGCAAGGTATTGTCAGCATGACATTTTTTAGTTCGTCCACGCTGAAGCATGAATCAGCATTTCATTCCTTTTTGTGGCTGAATGTCAGTCCATTGTGTGGATGAATCACATTTTATCCATTCATCGGCTGATGGACATTTGAGTTGTTTCCACCTTTCTGTCATTGTGAATAATGTTGGTATAAACATTCATTCATACATTTTTGTTTGAATACTTGCTTCAGTTCTCTTGGGTGTATACCTAGGAGCAATTGCTGGGTCATATGGTATGCTTTATGTTTAACTGTGGAGGCACTGCCAAGCTATTTGCCACAGTGGCTGCACCATTTTACATTCCCACCAGTGATGTATGAGGGCTCCTCATGCACAAGTTTTTGTGTGCAACTCCCATGAAATTTTAATTCTTGCAGATATACTGTATATTTGTTTATGTACTGTATGTATCTGGGTTTTACATAAACGTGTAAGTTTTTCTTTGCTTCCCAAGAAACATTTTTTGCCCTCTTGAGTGTACCATTGAGAATGAATGTTCCAGGTGAAGCTTGTCATTATCATCATTTCTTTGGCTCTGAGGGGGGTAAGTGACTTATTTTTATTTTTTAAAGTTATTTCTTTTAAAAATATTTTATATGTGTATTTTTAGAGAGAGGGGGAAGGAGGGAGATAGAGAGGGAGAGAAACATCAATGTGGGAGGGAAACATCACTTGGTTGTCTCTTGCATGCCCCCAACTGGGGACCTGGCCCATGACCCAGGCATGTGCCTTCACTGGGAATTGAACCAGCAACCATTCAGTCCACAGGCCAGCATTCAATCCACTGAGCCTCACCAGCCAGGATTATTTATTTATTTTTATAGAGAGGAGCAGGGATGGAGAAAGAGGGAGAGAAACATTGATGTGGGGGAGAAACACCAATAGGTTGCCTCTTGCACACCCCCAACAGGGGACCTGATGAAACCCAGGCATATGCCCTGACCAGGAATGAAACCTGTGACCTTTTGGTCTGTGGGATGATGCCTAACTCACTGAGCCGCACCAGTCATGGTGGTAAGTGACATATTGTGACCCCCTATCTCAGAGCTAGTATCAAGTGGTACAGGGATACCAGTTCCTGAGTCAACATGTTCAGCATCAGGTAATCCTGCCAGGGTCCACCTCCCATATCTGGAAGAGGAAACAATAGCCTCCAACCTGTGGAAGGGCTGAATTTCATGTGTGATGAGTATCAATGGGTAAGCTGGGTAAGAAGGGCTGGCTGGCAGGCACCTTGCTCCTCTCCCTAGAGAAAACATTCCCAACTCCTTTTCCAATTCGGATTTCATCTTCCATAGGTAGGTGTCTACTCTCAGTTTGTCAAAACCATGATGCCTGGTTCTTATCTTCTTAGATTATCAGAACAAGAGGGGTTCTCTGAGATATGAAGTTCCCTCCTTTAATTTATAGGTCAGGAAGGCCAATTGATTGAAAGTGGCTTGTTCAAGATCAAGGAGCCCATGAAGCGGAGGTCTCTGGATCCCAGCCCTGTCCTACAAAACGCGGTGGACAGGGTAGCCGGGGCACATGTATAAAGGCAGGAGCCTCGCTGGTAACTGAGGGAATAATGAGGTTGCCCACAGTGTCTGTCTGTCCATCCCTTCCATCTGTATATATTTACTCGTCCTTCCTTCCCCTCTTCAGCTCAGGTTTCAAGTCCTGCCTCTCCCGTACACTTATTAATGATGCGACCTTCAGTGTCCTTATCTGTAAAAAAGGGGAGTCATAGGGCTACTGTGAGAATCAAATGAGAAATGTGCCAAGGGCTGGGATCACTGGGGAAACACACCAGCCCTGTCCAGTGGCCACTAATCTGTTCAGGTTCTTGCCTCTCTGTGGCACGTGTAACCGGGTAAGGCAGGTCTGAAGGTGGCTGGTGGCTGTGCTGGGTGCTCTGCACATTCTGGGGCAGCTCCTAAGGTGGAGGCAGTGGGGGTGGCTTCACCAACACGCTCTCAATGTTTGTCAGCAAGTTGACCCCTTTTAAAGTCAAAAGGCTGTTGCATGGACACACGATAACTCTGTAGTGTGGCTATTTTTGGAGGTAAAATTGGAGGGTCCAGGGAAATTTTCCCTCAATACTATGGATACTTAAAATCATTATGTTTTTTTACTTTCTTCTTTGTCCTTTCCTCTTCCCTTTATTTTATATTTTAAATGTTCTATTCAGTACATCACACATCTTAAAAAATGGGTAAGTTTGCTGCTGGGTCAATTTTCCCAAATGGAACACACTGTTAGGAACACCCAGACCAAGAAAGAGAACATGGCTGCCCCCACCCCAGCTCCCCGTTGGCCCCCTCCCACTCACTTCCAGACTCTCCACTCAGGTCATTCCCCTGACTTCTAACAACAAAGATGGCTTTATTTTTTTAGAAATCTGAAATACAACTTTATTCTGATTCTAAACGAAAAGGAATGGGATTGACAGTAAACTATACAAGGTTTCACCACTGAATATTGTGATGTGGCTGAGCAGTTCTGTATTTGAAACTCAATAAAGAAATGACTGTATTCCAAAACAGTTACATATGCAGGTCCAAACAAATGAAGGTTTCTTCTTTTACTGCCACATTCACTCTGAAGCGCATTCATCTCCTTCAGAATCCCAAAAGTCAAGCACACTTCTGCTTAGCTTAATAAACTGGCAAACACGTGGCACCACTGACATCATCACGGGACAGGTGCCTATAAAACTAGACTTCTGATGATGCTGGCCCCTGTTCACCTTTCTCCCAGGGTGTCATCCTCGTCCAGGAAGTTGTGGTCTGGGCAGCCTCTAGAATCAAGACTGTGCTGCCACAGCTGGGTCCTTGACAACCTCTGGTGGTGCAAGAGCAGGCTAGTGACAAATTCTAAGTTAGATCTTCAGTTAGTTTTCTAGCAAGCCAGGGAAAGGCTTTTCAGAGTTGGAGTTGCTTTTGGCAGAAATATGATACTGAAGATTATTCTGGTGGAAGAAGATTGATTTTGCCTTAACTGTCCTTATGTCCACTTTGCTGCCACACAACACGATGGGGATGTTTCCACGCACTTACACCAGGTCTCTATGTCAGTTAGGCACGTTCTTCCAAGTAACTCTCGAAGCTCCGTCAAACATTATAATGGAGCCCTGGGCTTGGATGTAATATCCATCTCTCCGTGGGCGGAACTTCTGGCCAGCTGTATCCCACGCATTCAACTCGATATGCACTCTGCTTGGTGTGAAACGGGAAGGGATGGACTTCAACGACCAAGTGGCTACAAACTTCTCAAATTCACCACATGATGTTTCACAAATACAGTTTTTCCAGTCTGATCAAGCTTGGGGCTCTCCCTGGGCAACTGTCACGATGTTAACTTCGTATGTTAACTTCCAGAAGTACCTCAGGCGGGTCTGAGAGCTGGAAAGATCAAAGATTAGTTTTCATTTTACAGACATGGAACCAGCCAGCATTAATTTTTGGCGTCTGGCCTCTTTTCTCAAAATTATGATTATGAGATTCATCCTGTATATATCATTTAAAGATTTTATTTATTTTATTTTCAGACAGAAGGGAGAGGGAGACAAACACCCATGGGTGGTTGCTGTCTCCCTGTATTTTGGAGTTATCGTAAAACTTTGAAATAAAATGCTTCTAGATCCCCACGTGGTAAGAGGTTTACCTTGGTACGACTAACTCTTGGACCTCAGGGTCTTCCGGGGTTCCACTGGCTGCCATTTAGGAAACTACGCCCTCGCCTGCCCTTTCTCCGCCCCCCTGTTGGGGGCATCCACGAGCGGCTGCGCACAGACAGCCTGCCCGCCCGGGGAAACGCAGTCACGTGACTGAAGACTGTCCGCCAAGATGGCTGCCTCTTATGTGGTAACGCTGGCGTTGTCCATATACTTTCCGCTGCTGCTGCTGATCGCCTGGAAGCGCTGGCGGCGGGGGCGTTCGCCCCGGCACGTAGTCGTCGTGGTGCTGGGCGATGTGGGCCGCAGCCCCCGAATGCAGTACCACGCACTGGCATTGGCTCGGCGTGGCTTCTCCGTGACCCTTCTTGGATTCTGCAGTGAGTGCCGGGGATCTGGGAAGAAGGCAGCTCTCTCAGCTTCGATCACCCCAGAGGAGCCGGGGGTGGGGTGAGGACGCTCCTGTTCTCTCTCCTCTTTCGGGCAGTTCTTCCAGACTGGACAGCTGTTGCCAGGTTTTTGCCCGGTGTCTGGTGGCGGGTGTCTAGGAACAGCCTAATCGAGCGCCTGCCATATGCTAGGATAGTGCTGAGCTAAATGAACTCTGCTTAGTTTCATTCCTCCTACTAAGTGGAAGGAAGGACCGGAACCTACGTGCGTGTGGCTCCAGAGCGAGTACCGGTAACTGCGTTCCTGAGGCTGCTGTTGTCAGGCTGTGTTTGAGGAGACAGGCAGCTTGTCTTCTTTGCATTGCTCTTATGCAGAGCGCAGCAGGCAGGCAGATGTTTTTCATTTGCGCAGCATGTCCAGCTTTTTCACCCCGTGTGCAGGGTCAGTCGTGTCTGTTCTTCCATCTTCCTCCATGTTGACATCTTTAGATAAAGAGTAGCTCAATTTGCTATCAGGGAAAAGAAGTAATAACATTCTTTGCATTTGGTCCCTGTTTAGAGTCTGCTATCCCAGGGTGAGAGGGGTGGAGTGGGACTTAATAGGGTTCTCCCTGCGATGGGATAATTCCCCCATCCAAGGAATCTAGATCAGTGTGATGGCCTACTGTGTGCCAGGTATTGTGTTATGTAAAGGTGGTTACGATTCAGGCCCTCCCTCTGTGGACAGTCTAGTGGAATCTGGACAACAATTGGCCTCCTTCTCTGTTTTGGCTATTGAGGAACAGCGGGCTGTTTGGAAAAGTCCCACTATTCCAAACACTAAAAAGTCCCACTCTCCACTATTTTACCTGAGCTGGTGGATCATCTGACTTGAAGTTAGATCGCCCTGTCTGGTTCATTAAAGGGGACATTCTTTTCAGACTCCAAACCCCACCATGAGCTTTTGCAGAATGACAGAATTCGGATTGTGCCTTTGACAGAACTTCAGAGATTTGCAGGTAGGACACAGCCAACTCCAGATTCCTCTGAATTGGGGTGTGAGTGTGTTGGGGGGGCTGCAAATTGCCAAGAACTCCTTTGGTAGTGACAACTCTTTTCTGACTTGCAGTTGGGCCGAGCATTCTTCAGTACGGAATCAAAGTTGTCTTTCAGGCGGTGCACTTGCTGTGGAAGTTGATGTGCAGGGAGCCAGCAACCTACATCTTTCTCCAGGTGTCTGTCAGCCCTGCTTCTTTCTGTGAGAATCACTGTTAACAATTTTATTTATATTTCAGTCTTTAAAAATGTACAAATTGGTAAATAAATTGCATATGTATGTGTGTGTATAAACTTTTAAGAACAGAGTAGGAGTCTATGGTGTGAATCCATTCTACTTATGGTGCCCATCTAGTGTATTTTTCTATGTCATTACAGATAAGTCTTACACTGTACTTATTACATCTAAGTGTTTTACATGTATTAACTCATTTAATCACAACAATCCTAAGAAGTAGGTTCTTATATTACTTACATTTTAGAAATTAGGTGACCTACACCCAGAGAAATTCAGTAAGTAGCTCATTGTTACACATCTAGGAAGGGCTGGAGACAGGGTTTGAACTAGGTTGTCAGTCTGGTTTTGGAGTTAAGCTCTTAACCTCTTCCCTTCACTTTTTAACATATAGAAACATCTCCTTTTAATTGGCTGATGTACCCTAATGTATTTATTTAGTCTCATCTTAATAGACACTCCGATTGTTAGTTTTTTTTACTTTTACGAAAAGTGTGGCAAAGAGCATCAGTGAACATGTGTTTTTTTGTGTGGGTCCAGTCTTTTTCTTGGAATAAATTCATAGGGGTCAAAACTCATGCACTTTATTTATTTATGCAAAATATTTTATTCATTTATGTAAAATATTTTATTTATTTATTTTTAGAGAGACAAGAAGGAAAGGAGAGAGAGAAACATCAATGTGTGGTTGCTTCTTGGCAGCTCCTACTGGGGACCTTAGCCTGCAACCCAGGCATGTGCCCTGACTGGGAATTGAATCAGTGACCCCTTGGTTCACAGGTTGGCGCTCAATCCACTGAGCCACACCACCCAGGACAGAACTTGTGCACTTTAAAATGTGGTGTGCTACTGGATAGTCCTAGAGTAAGGTTGGGACAATTTATTTCCCACCCAAGGGGATGGGATGCCTCTTCCCACACATATGTGCCATCACTAGCTGTTGTCAGGTATTTTAATTTCCACCTAACTTAATGTACCTCCTTGTTCCATTTTTTGTCTCCTTGATTATTGATGATCTTGGACTTTTCAGGTTGTTTCTTTCAGGTCAATGATGGTCTGGTTTCCTCTTTTTCATTCAAGTTTCTCTTTTTCCCAGAACCCCCCGGGCCTGCCTGCTATTGCTGTCTGCTGGTTTGTGGGCTGCCTCTGTGGGAGCAAGCTCGTCATTGACTGGCACAACTATGGCTACTCCGTTATGGGTCTGGTGCATGGCCCCAACCACTACATTGTTCTGCTGGCCAAGTGGTGAGGGTCTGGGAGGATGGTGCAGACACCTTCCCTAAACTGTGGTAGGAAGAAGGGCCTGTGCAGAGACTTGGTGAAGCTGGTTCCTTGCATAATCTGTGGGGTAAGGGTTGGGCTGGGGAACTGGGCTGATGCTGGTTAAAAGTGATGGAAACAGGCCCGAGCAAAGGAGGGTGTCTTTTTTTTTTTTTTAAGATTTTATTCACTTTTTAGGAAGAGAGAGAGAGGGAGAGAAACATTGATTGGTTGCCTCCTGCACCCTAACTTGGGGAGCAGGCCCACAACCCAGGCATGCGCCCTGACTGGGAATTGAATCGTTGACATTTCGGTCTACAGGATGACGCCTAGCCCACTGAGCCACACCAGTCAGGTCAGGAGGCTGTCTGTTGGCTCAGGAGACAGAAGAGTCCAGAGAAATGGCTGACTTTGAGCTCAAAAAGGGTGTCATCAGGACCTCTCTCATCTCTCTTTCCACACTCCTTCTAGGAGTTATTTCTCAGGTTCTGGGAGTTCCCCTTGCTTTTAGCTTCACCCCGTCAAGCTAAGTGGAGAGAGTGAGCCTCTGATTGGCACCTGCTGATCTGCCATCCTATGACCTTCGCACTGACACTGGCAGCTGTAGTACCCCATTGTTTCAGGCTTCGGACAAGTGCTGTGCTGCAAGAGCTGGGGTCCAGGTGCACCCAGACCAGATCCCCAAGTAAAAACTGGGGCTGCTGCTGGAGGACAGGGACACAGGCCTGCAGTGGATGAGACAGGGAGAGGGAAGAAGGGCCTGTGGTGGCAGGTTTGACCTGGAGCAGGAAGAGTTGGTCTGTTCTGAGCTCCACCCAATGTATAACACCTGCCTGGGTGGGGACTCGTAGCCTCGAGCCATCAGCTTCAGCCTGTCCCCTATCAGGCCTGTCCTCCATGGCGGTAACAGTGGTGGTGGCAGCAGCAATTACTGAGCATTTGCTGCTGTATCCTAGGCTCAGGCCAGGGCCTTTACCTCATTTAGTCTACATGCCTCCCTTTTACAAGCCAGGAAACCAAGGCTGTGAACCATTTTGTCTCTTGCCCCACAGCTCATAAGTGTGAGGACTGAAATTCAGTGCCAGGCCACCCAGTTCCGGAGCTTCCTTTGCATCCGGAGTTAGGAGCAAGCCGTGATACACCAATGGTTAATCTGGAGTCACTCCTTTCCCCTTTTCAGTTCTGCCCTGCCGTCAGGTCGCAAGTCAGTTTGGAGCTAATCTGTTGTTAAAGCCTCTCTAACATTTACTAAGCTCCCTTTGTAACACATTGGAAGCATCCTCAGCCTCAGTCTTTGCAGGGAACAGTGCACAGTGTGGCTAAAATTTAATAATGGAGACTTCATTATATATCTTTCTATGGCAAGAGAGATACTGGATTTTCCCTTCTGTAGTGATACATGGTTTCCTTTGAAAGTATTTCTATTTAAGCTAAAAAGTGATACAATATAAAGAAAGGTGTGAAAGAAATAATAGCACAGGTAGAACTCAGATAGTACAAACCCTGGTAAGTTGTCTTGCCAGTGCCCCGATTTGGGAGACCCCAGCTCTGCAGCTTCTGAATCTGAAGGGTTCGAGTCACGTGATGGTTATGGTCATGGGGCCTAGCCCAGGGCTCCGGGCTGACCAACGATATGTCTTTTCAGGTATGAGAAGCTTTGTGGACGCCTCTCCCACCTGAACCTGTGTGTGACCAATGAGATGCGGGAAGACCTGGCAGAGAATTGGGGCATCAAGTAGGGACCTTGGGCGGGGCGGGGGGGTGGAGGGGATGAGGGGTCGCAGCACAGGTGGTGCCCACTGCAGTGCCTGCTGTGCCAGGTTGGTGAGGCATCTGGAAATACCCAGGGGCCTGGGAGGTGGGAAGCTGAGGGAGGAGGAGGCTGGAGTTTCTTTCCCGGCCAGCCAGAGGGCCCAGGCAGTTTTGATGTTAGATCTCTCTGTGCTTCCCTAAGTCATTCACAGCTTCTTATTCTCATTGTCTGAAACATGAATCCCCCAAGCCCCTTCTTTTTCCGGATCCTCCTGGGTCTTCTATTCCTCAGGCCATTTCCCACCCCTCCTAGAGCCCTCCAATGATCTCGTTGCAGAGCTGTGACCGTCTACGACAAGCCAGCGTCTTTCTTTAAAGAGACGCCCTTGGACCTGCAGCACCGGCTCTTTATGAAGTTGGGCCGCACCTACTCTGCATTCAGGGCCAGGTCAGTCTCCTGTCTTCCGTCTTCTCTTGTGTTCGCTGCCATCCTGGCTTCTCCCTTATCTCTTCGCTGCAGACCTGGGAATCTAATAATCCACAGTTTGGCTAACTGTGGTTGCAGGCCCACTGCCTGTTCATAAATAAAGTTTTATTGGAATGCAGCACATTCATTTATGCATTGTCCATGGCTACTTCATACTACAGCAGCAGAGCTGAGTTTTGCAAGAGATTGAATGGCTCCCAAAGCCTGAAGTATTAATTCTCTGGCCATTTAAGGAAACGTTTGTCCTGTGCAAGGCTGTGGTCATCTTCACCCTCCTCCCTGCGAGTTCCTGACCCATTGGTGGGGTCTGTGGACCTGTGTGTTCTGTGGGATGCCTCACAGGTCTAAGGCCCTTGGAGTAGCTCTTCACACACCAGTTGTTTGCTCCTTTCAGTAACCTGGCAGCCAGTTGGGAAGTCACAGCTCCCTCATCCTTAGTCGAGGGAATGATAAGAACAGTAAGCTGGTGAAGGCAGGGGCTGAGTCGGCCTTGTCTGCTGTTGTGACCTCAGCATCTAGCAACAAGCAGATGCTGATAAAGAAAGCAAGGCTCGTGTGTGCCCAGGCCTAGGGTAATAGGGTCAGCTTGGTGTTTCTGACAAGGCCATGCCCTGACCTTGGGGAGCCTCTGGGCCTCACTCTGGTGGGAGACAGCCATCTTGGGGCCTGTGGGCCTGCGCTGTGGCATCTCACAGGCGCTCTCTCTGCTTCTTCAGCTCAGAGCCCTTGGACCCAGCCACTGAGAGGTCAACCTTCACGGAGCAGGATGCTGGAAGCGGGATGGTGACACGTCTTCATGGGCGGCCAGCTCTGTTGGTCAGCAGCACTAGCTGGACAGGTCTCAGGAGCCTTCTGGGCATGTGGGACTTGTACAAGCACCAGTCTGAGCCTGCATTCTTGTCCCTGCTAGGCCCGTGCCCCGCATGTATTTGGGGTGCCCTAAGGTCCCGATCAGAAAGGGGAGGGCATTGAGCTGGGCAGGGAGGCATCTAGAAACCAGCCACGACACATAGCTCTCTTTTCTTGCAGAGGATGAGGATTTCTCCATCTTGCTGGCAGCATTAGAAAGTAGGTGTGTGGCTGTGATCAAGAGCTGGGCTTGTCAGGGGCTGTTGAGCTGTGAGGTGCTCACTGAGCCTTGCATGGTGTTCTCTGCAGGGTGTTCCTGCCTGTAGGGCTGGAGGGTGGGCCGGCCTGAGCACTCGGGTGGTGCAGGGGCGACTCTGAGTTCCCATTTTGGTTGCTGAGTGACCAGGCCTTAGATCTATCTGAAGTGCCAGCTCTGGGAGAGTGATCTGTGTCTGGAAGGTGTCCCTCCCTTCACCCCTCTCTCATTCCTTCCCTCACCTGACTAGATGATCCTGCTTATCATGTATTTATTTTTTTAAACAGAGTTTGAACAGCTAATCCTGAATGGAGAAAGTTTTCCTTCTCTGGTCTGTGTGATAACAGGTACCTTTTGGGACCCTCCATGTTCTTCTGTTTAGGTGAGGGGCAGTGGGGAAGGGGGAAGGCAGCTGCCTTGGGTGTCTTTCCTACGTCAGCCACGTAAAGCCCCTTCTTTCCTTAATCCTTATGGCAGCTCTCGGACATGAGATTTTCTACGCCCATTTGACAGAGGGTGAAACTGAGGCTCAGAGGGACCTCATGGCAGGGCGTGGAGTCTAGATTTGAATGTCAGATAGTACATTCAGAGATACTGAGCTTTCCACTTCTGCAGTCGTTTGCAGGCTTTTTATCTTTATTTTTTTTTAAATAAAGAGGCCACTCTCTGACATAAAATTGCTTCCAGAGTTGCCTACTGGGGAGAGAAGCAGGGAGCTGTCAGAGGAGGAAGGTCCCGGGACAGCTGTCCCACCTCACACACTGCCCTCCTCCTGGCCCCTGGGCTCCCAGGGTGGCAGGTGCCCACTGCCTATGCTGTGCCACCTGGCCGGGCCCAGGGACAGCCTGTGAGGAACTGTGTCTGGTTGGCACTCTGGTGCCTAGTCAGTTTATGCTGGCCACATCCACAGCCTGTTGGATACAGATTGCCATGGTTGCTGCAGTCAGGGGGCACACCCCTGGGGGGCGGGGCAGGTATTTCTGGAAGGGGCTGGATGGGGGCTTGATTGGAGCTGTGGGGTGTGGGCCTCCTGCTCACACCTTTGAGGGGCTTCTTAGGGGTGGGGCCTTGGATGGAGTCAGAGGTGGGCCCAGTGCAGTGACTCCTGATTTTCTCCACAAGGCAAAGGGCCTCTGAAGGAGCACTATAGCCGCCTCATTGACCAGAAGCGTTTCCAGCACATCCAGGTCTGTACCCCATGGCTGGAGGCTGAGGATTACCCGCTGCTTCTAGGTAAGAACACCTGGCAGGAGGCCTCAGAGGGCTGAGGTTTCAAAGGGAATACTTACTTCAGGGCTAAGGGACTGACTTTTTACAAAAATGGCCAGATTGTAAATATTATACTGGCCACAGTTGCATATTCTTTGTTTTTACAACCTTTTAAAAATTAAAAGCCATTCTCAGCTCAAGGGGCACACACAAGAAAGGTTTCAGGTGGGTTGGGCCCTGCCATTGGCCCTGCTCCAGAAGCCACCTGGGACGGGTAGATGCCACCTGCCAGGAAACTGTCGGAGATTTTGGCCGGACTCCAGGAAAAGAGGCTGTTTCCTGGTGTGCCAGCTCCCCCTTGCCTGGTGAGCTCGGGAGCTGCTGGCCAAGGGACGCTAAGAGGGTTTTGTCCTTTCAGCCTCCACGCCCTCCATTCAGTCCTGCTCTTCCGTTCAGATGGAAGGGCTCGGCTGGGCTTGGGTTGGGGCCCACTCTTCTCCAGATTGGGGGGCGGGGCAGTGCAGAGGTGACACGTGGAACTGCGCTGACTCTCCCAGTGAGGACACCCTCCCCTCCTGCTCTTCCCATCGTCACTGCCCTGGGGAGGGGAGCGTTGGCCTGGGACTGACACGTCCCTAAGGCCTCATCTTCCGGTGGCCAGGAAGCAGTCCTGGGCAGAGAGCCTTCGGTAGGCAGGCCTTTCCAGCTAGTTTAGTGACGTGAAGTTATTTATTTGGCTTTATTTTCAGAGTGACAGCTGGTTTTCTGTTGAGTCTGTGGGTTCTTTTTCTAATTATTGTGATAGCAAAGTTTGTCATTTTAACTGTTTTTCCATTTTGTAGTGTAGATACAACTCAGTGGCATGAATTACATTCACAAGTGTTCTACAGCCACCACCACTGTGTTTCCAAAACAGTCTTATCACCCCAAGCAGAAACTCTGGCCCCAGTAAGCATAATTGCTGTGGAGTCTTTTAAAATAAATTGTGGTTAAGTAGAAAAAGGGAGTCAGTTTAAATAAAAATGGTAGTAATAGGCAGGTAGTTTTCAGATAGGGCTGAGTGGCCAGGAGTGGACACTGTGACCCCCTGCCCTGCACCAGGCTGCTTGGCCAACTCCAGCCAGTTGTGTGTGGGGTGGGGAGCGTTTTCCACTTTCAATTCCCCGCCAGAGGCGCCGATCCACAGTCCTTGCAGCATGTGAGGTCAAAGGGAGCCGGCCAGTGCTCTGACGACCCCCACTCCCTGCAGGGTCAGCAGACCTGGGTGTCTGCCTGCACAAGTCCTCCAGTGGCCTGGACCTGCCCATGAAGGTGGTGGACATGTTTGGATGCTGCCTGCCCGTGTGCGCTGTGAACTTCCGGTGGTAGGAGTGGAAACAAATCCTACTAGAATTAGGAGTTAGGTTCTCAAACCAGCAGCTGGGGGGAACCAGTGTGGTCAGAGCTGCCCCTTAGAAAGGTGCCATCTCCCGATCTGTGCCGCTCAGCCAGGTGGCCCTGGGGAGTAGGAGTCCTATCAGATGGGCCAAGTCCCGCTGTCGGAGTTGGCTCCCACTGAGCTCATGTTGAACAAAAATTACGTGTCCTAAATAATCAATTTGGGGCTTGTGCTCAAAGGATGAAGTAGGGGTTGGAATTGCCCACACAATTTACATGTTTCTATTTCTCTCTCTGTCTCTTTTGTTTGAGCTTTTACTTGGATTTAAATCAGTTAAATGAGTATAATTCTCTGTCTCCACCCTTCCTGGAGAAGATGAGCTTTTGGAGGGTAGTGTTAGAAGAGGCTCTAGAAACTGCCCTCCTATGGACTGAGGGGCCAGCCTCTAAACGGGCAATCAGGATGTTAGACCCTTGCATGAGCTGACCTCTGCACGCTGTGCTACCCAGAAAAGTCACCCTTAATGTGCTGAGCCTACCTCCAGTTGCCGTTTACCTTGTTTATCTGCTGTGCAATTAAGAGAAAAAACGCAGAACCCACTGAGCACATTCTCACTGGAAAGAGCATAGAGCAGAAGAGTTCCAGATCCCCGTTCACTGCCCCTGTCCCCACATTGGTTTGGGGTTTTGATGTGTATCCTGCCAGGACTGTTTTCTATTCAGACGTCAAATCTAAGAACAGATTCATTGGAACCAGACTGACTGTTCCTAACCCCTAGCTTAGCCTGTGGGTGGGGAGTGGTGGTGTGGGGGTCCAGGTGGGCATCATGGGGTTCTGGTTTCTTCTCCAGGCAACTCTTAGGCCTCCCTCAATTGTCTCTGCAGCTTACACGAGCTTGTGAAACATGAGGAAAATGGCCTGGTTTTCAAGGACTCAGAGGAACTGGCAGCTCAGCTGCAGGTAACCACCTCTGCCCTCATGCCTGGGCTTGCAGGGTTTGGAGGCTGGCAGAACCGTGTTCCTGGATTCCTTGCTCCTGCAGCCCAGTGGGCCTGTGCTGGGTCCGGGTGAAAAGCAATAGGAGGGAGCAGTGGTTCCTGAGGCTCGGCCCCAGTGGGCTCAGGGGAATTAAGGTCTACCCACCTGCTGTCTGGTTTGTGGAGCTTCTACCATGCAGGTGCTGGTGCACAGGTGGACTGTGTGTGTCACTTAGGGAGTGACGGGATATCAGGAGGGAGAGTGAGGAGTGAAGGGAGCTTCCTAAACTAGCCTTGCAAGATGGGTGGGAGTCTTCAAAGGATACTTGTTTCTTATTACAAGTAGTAATATATCAATATTTTTGACAGTTGAGACCCTGGGTGGCAAACTTTCTGCAAAGGCCCAGCTAGAAAAATCTGTGGTGCGACTGTTTTAATAAAACTTTATTTACAAAGACAGGTGGAAGGCTGAATTTGGCCCACAGGCTGTAGTTTTGGATACCTGACTTAGTTTAGCAAAACTGGAAAGAATGCAGACATTGCCTGGTTCCCAGCCTGTGGGCTGGATGGTGCTGGGCAGAGGCTGAGGGGTAGATGCCCTTGGTGGCAGGAACAGCACTGGCAGGCAGGGGGCTACTGCAGGTCGCTGTGTGGACGAGTTCCACTGCAGCATGGCCGGGCTGTCAAGTAGGACAGAGGAGGACATGGAGCGTGGCTGGGGTGTGAGGGCTCTAGAATGCTTGGTGCGGGAGGGGGCTTGCTAGGTCGAGGATGGCGGGGTGGGAGAGGTCTGAGACCAGTTCAACAAGCTGAGGGTGGAAGCTGGGCTGGCGGCCCCTGGCGGCCCCGAGACACTGTTGGCGGTAGTGTGGCCAGAGGGAGGGTTTCAGAATCACTGGCCTGGCAGCTGGTGTTTGGGGTGTGGCAGAGGCCCAGGCTGCTGGGAAGAAGGGGCGGGGGAAGCAGGGATGAGGGAAGTTTTGTCTTTTTTTCTTCTAGATGCTTTTGTCAAAGTTTCCTGATCCTTCTGGCAAACTGAACCAGTTCCGGAAGAACCTCCAGGAGTCTGAGCAGCTTTGTTGGGATGAGAACTGGAAACAGAATGTTCTCCCTTTGCTTATGGACACATGACTCCTTGGCCCAAAGACTGAACGCCCCTGAGCATGTCCTGGTGCTGAATGTCGTGAAAGGGGAGACCCTGATGCTGATGCCAACCCCTCTCTGCTCTCCTGTGCTTCTTACCATAAACCTGACTCACTTCCCTCCTCCAGACTCTCAGCTGCTGCCCAGTCCCTGGGCAGACTATTTGGAGCAGCACCTCCCAGTGGACAATAGTTGAAAGGACAGCACACTATGCCCGTGGAATGAAATTATTTATTTCTCCACTTTCCTTTAACTTCATGTAAGAGGCAAATCCTGTAAGTTTTACATTTTTTGGTCAGTAAAAAATCCTATGGTCATTTCTAAGTTGCCAAACACAGTCTCAATTCAGGACAGATTGGTGAAGGCAGCAAGAAAGTTTTCATTTAATTGGTGCTGGTGTAGATGGCTTCCCACCTTGGGAACATTTAGTCGCACACCTGTGGGAGATGTGCTTTTCTCCGGCTGGTGGATCTCTCTGAGCCTCCAGTTCTGGGAGGTCCACTCCACACAGAGCCTGTTGCAAGTCCCAGCACTTGCTGCAGTCAGTTTTCTCCTTTGAGAATGACTTAAACACCTCCGGCCAGCCAGTCTGTGGGCCTGTGCGCGTAGCAGATTGTTGTGTGTGCTGGGCTGTCACAGTCAGCAACATTAACACAGGTCAGAGATGGGGAAATCTCAAACTAAAGGGCCAAAAATGGAGTTTTTAATAAGATGGAGACGGCTGTCTACCAAGTGAGGTGCTTGTTCCTAGCGTAAATTGTCAAGGGAAATGTATGAAAAATCATTTTGCCGCTCCCCGCGCATGATCCAAGGTAAGCGTTTGGGTGATTGGGAGGGTGAAGGGGAGAGGGTTTGTTGAGGATTCTTCCCAGGGCACTGTAGGATGAGTCCCACATCTTTCACGTCGGGAGAGGAGGTGTCCGCCTCACACCTCAGACCCTGTGAGGGGTGCCCACAGGGCCGCACGTGAAGCTGACTCGCCCTCCGTGTACAGGGGACGTGGCGGGACAGGGCACATCAGACGCCGGGACAGGGCTACCAGACAAGCGGAGGAAGTGTCAGTGTTGGGGTCCGAGGGAAGCTATTTTAATGACCAGGACTTTGTGGCCCCAGAAACCAGTTCAGCTGGTTTCTTCTTTCGTGGCCCGAGTCACTCCCCTCTTTCCTCTCCTCCTCTTTGACTCTTTTCCTTCCCTCAGTTTATTACTTTTCTGTTACTTGCCTGTGGCCTTGTCCAGCATCACTTTGTCCCTGTTTTTGTCTTCTGGGGGGTGCCTTTCTCAGCATCTGCTCTGTTGTGTCCTGAACATTGTCCAGGATGAAGGAAACATACTTGATAGATGTGTTTCCCCCACACAAATGGAATGCTTACCTCCGAGCCAAAACTTTCATTTCTGGTTTATGGTGGTTTGCTTATGAACCAGAACTGCTGACAGAAAGGGGCAGCCACATGCCTGAACGGTTCATGTTTTTTATTAGGACACAGTTTGTGGTTCCTGGTTCAGAATTTAACATTCTTCAAACATTTAAGTCCAATGAAAGTTTTATCAGCTTTTCCCAGATAAAAACTTTTCCCCAGGCGATTTAATTTTCACGGTTATTTTCAGAAACGTTTGTTGTAAACTTACAACTTTAGTTTCAGAATTGCCATCTCCGAGTGCTCTTCATAGGGAAATAGTTTTTGGCTGTGATGAGGCACCGCTTCCCATGAGATCCCAGCCTGGCCTGGAAACAGAGCATGTGTGTCTCAGGATGGCGGGGTTTGGGGACAGGCACCACCCTAGGAGTGAGGGGTTACAGGACAGGCCTGGGGGTGGGCTTACAAACCAGATTGTCCAGCCCCATCCAGACACCTAGAAGCAGCCTCCAGAAGCAGGACCAGGAATCCTGTTTTTAAAGAGCTCACGACAGCCAGGTTTGCTGCCTCTGCCCATCGGGCCATACCCATCTGTGGAAGGTCATGGCCTGTCTTGGTTCCCTGTAGTGCTCTGCACCTGTCCTCCACCCTGTCACCAGGTGCAGCTCAAGTGGAGCCAAGATTTGAACCTGCTTGGCCTGACTGCTCAGCCTGGTGCCTCCTCACAAAACCTGGACATGCACCTGGAGGGGCTCCCGGCCTCTTCGTAAGCACAGGTGTCTGAAGAGCCACTGGCAAGGTTCATTTTATCATCAGTTTTTTTATGAATGAAAAATTAGTATTTAAAAGGAAATGTGAGACATGAAAGTGCAGAAGCATCTATAATCCTGCCATCCAAGTATAACAACTGTTAACTATTGTATATTCTTTGAGATTTCCCCCATATGAATTGTAAAATAAAGGTGATGATTTTTTAAAATAAGAATTGGCTTATACTATATTATCTTTTGGCACTTAGTTTTCTTCACTTAAAATATGTTGTAGATTTTGACGTTTGCCAGATGGGAGGGGGGCTGAGGGATATGGGTGAGAAAGGCGAAGAGATTGAGGAGTAGTGTGGTCGTTACAGAGCAGCGTGGGGCTGTCGAGCACAGCACAGGGAATGCACTCGGTAATACTGTGATAACTTACGGTGTCAGATGGGTACTAGATTTATTGGGGTGAGCACTGTTGTAAGTTATATAAACGTCTAACCCTGGGGTTGTATACCTGAAACTAATGCGACACTGTATGCCAACTGTAATTTAAAAATAAAAAATGTTTAAAAAATAAAATACAGATATTTTTACCCATAAATATCTGAAGGACTTCATTCTTTTTCAAGGCTGCACAGCACTCTGCCAGTGGGACTTTTAGCACATGTGGGCAGGCATTTGTGTGGTCTTTGTTAGCAGAGGCTGCTGCAGGTGGGGCTTTGCTTGCAAGGCTGGGGCAGGTGTTGCGGCAAACGGGGTTTTGCGGTGGAAGGCCGGGGTGGGCCTGGAATGTGGTCAGGTGGTGGGGTAGGGGGAGTTAGGGATCGAGAGCAGGAATTGGCTGCCCGGCTGTAGTCCTTGGAGCTAGGGTGGTTACTTAGCCTCCCTACACCTCGGTGTTCCCACGGGTGACGTGGAAGATGACAGCACACCCCTTCCAGCTGCTGGAGGGGCTGGCACACGTCAGGTCTGAGGAGACAGTGCCTGACCCACAGCAATGCCAATTCAGGGCCGTAAATGGCAGGCCCCGCCCTCTTCTCTAAAGTTACCCCTTGTCCTTCCATTTCCTGGGTGCCGAACCCAGTAACAGCAGCGACCGTTTTCCTGAGTGTCCCCAGGAACCGGGTTCTGTTCTGCCTCTGGTGGATGCTGCTGCTGTACAGGTGGCCCGGAGGCAGTGACAGCCCAGCCCCACCAGGGCGGGTGGTGGGGCCCTCCTCCAGAGCCTGTGCCTGACTGCTGTGTGGCCTGAACTTCGTCTACCCTGACACCTACGGGCATCTGCCATCCCTTCCACTTTACAGACAATCAAACAGGCCAGAAGGCTCTGGAAACCTGCTCTAAACACAGTAGGGCTGCTGGTCTCAGCCCTCCAGGTTCACAGCGTGAGTTACCTCCATTCCCCCAGAGCCCATCCTCCAGCCCTGCCTGCCCTGCTGACCTTCGGGGCAGGGGTCGTCAGGGCTTCCTAGTTTGCTTTCAGGGCCCATTCTTTCACTGCCCTGATTTCTGCCTACTGGAGGCTGGCCTGGATGGCCTCTCCGAGACAGCAGGCTGTCCTGGGGCCCCGGGGCTCACCTAGCTCGGTGGTGAAGAGCTGGCATGTCTCTGGGTTGCGGATGGTGAAGGCAATATAGGCATCAAGAGCCAGCTCGTCCTTCCGGCAAGCAGACAGGCTCTGCAGGACCCTGACCAGGGACAGGATAATTTCTGGGCAGTACAGCACATCTGCAATGAAAACCGCAGATTACTGACGGGCACTCCCTCTAGGACTCCGGACCCCAGAACTGAGGACGCTGGGTTGTGCCAGCCTTGGCAGCGGGGCAAGGGCCGGGAAAGCAGCAGTTCTGTTGGATGGAAAGAAAATTATTTGGTAGAAGAAAGAAGATCCTTAGGAGAGAACAAAAGCTGCTGAAAAGCAATACAACAACGGAAAAATATCCAAGACTCATTGTGTTCCTTTAAAACAAATTGTTTGCCCATGGCCTATACAGAAGACGCTTTAATAAAGCAAACCCTGAGTCCGCTTCAGACTTCTAGGTTCCAGAGGCCTACCGCTTTGGTCTCTGCGGGGCGGGGGGACAAGCTTGTTCCTGCCTGACAGCCAGGTTTGCAGGGATGGGCGCTGCGTTGGGTGTGCTGCTCAGGCTCTGCATGCTGGCCACTGTGTCTCCGTGGGTCTCGGGGCTGTGGCCCAGGACCAGAGGCACAGTGATGTCAGCCCGACAGGGGACGGGTCAGGTTGGCAGAGGATGAGGGGCTTCTTAGTTTTCAAGCCAAATGCCCCTTCTCTCGAGGACCCTGTCCTTGCACTGGAAGTGAGTAATCCTCTGTGGTATGCACCTGGGACAGAAACACACAGGAACTCTTCTCGGGGACATGCAACACGTGGGGATGATGCAGAGCAGGGGGAAGCCAGTGCTACCGGCAGTGGAGACACTCAGAGCTCCTTCCCTGAATCAGACACCACCACAGCTGGACCCTCCTGGGTGCCCATGACACACAGCGAATCAGACCCGGTCCTGGGAGGAGGACTATGGTCTTTGTGGACATGAAAGGACAAGGCTGCCATGGTGGGACAGAAAAGCGTGTCTACTCGACTGTGGTCTGGCTAATAGGTCAGACTGGCGTGGCAGCCTGGGGCCTTTTCTGTTCATCCCAGGCCTTGCTGGGGAGAGCCAGGTTCATTTATCTGATGGAGACACTTACAACAGGAGTGCATATGGCCATTTCCTTAAACAGGAAGACTGTGGCTTTAGGGCACCCACAAGGCACACCCTATGTTTTGATGTCACCTGGGAGGTTCACAGTGACCCTTCCGGAAGTCTCATCTGGCCTTTACCATTACCCCTCTGACTCTGCAGAGTCCATGGTCCCCTTCCCTGCACTGAGCTGGGTGCAGCCATAGGGAAGCCACGGGCTTCAGTGGCCAGGGCTGAGCAGTACCTGCTGCGAGGACGATGTCTGGCTGGAGGGCAGTGAGCTGAGGGGCTGTCACAACGTCCCAGTCCAGCTGTTCCACTGCCACCACGGGGCTCTCTGAGTTGTGGGTGTGGTGTCCTGGGTGCTGTGCTGGGGCGGTGGCATCTGGCTCCAACAAGAAGCCATTGAGAAGGATGTTCCCGCGGAGCTGCTCGAGGACATGGCTGTGACAGTCGCTGAAGATGTATGCTCTAGGGCGGCACATTTTGCAGATGACCAGGCCGGTGAGGCCGGCTCCACTGCCGAGCTCTAAGACAGTCCTGAGTTGGAGAAGGGGACAAGTGTCTGCAATTGTGTCGGGGCAAACCAGCCCCAGGGCCCTGCCCTGCACCCCGAGGTCACCTGTGATTGAAAGCCGCTGGGTTCTCTAGGGCCCATTCGGCAAGGTAGAGCGCAGCACTCCACGTGACCAGGCCGGTGGTGCCGTGGGAAACGATGGCTGTGCTCTCAGCGAGTGTGACCGAGTCCCCGGAAGGCTGGGTGGAGATAGGGAGAGAGAGTCACCCAGCTGCCAGAAGACAAGGAGTTGGTGTTAAAGAGACAAAGGATCATAACAGGTGGGGGGGGGGATCAAGTCAAAATAAGGTCATTGGGGTGGGCCCTAATCCATGGCCACCGAGTCCTCATAAAAAGAGGAAACTAGAACACTGATGCACGACAGAGGGACAGCGACGTGGAGACAGGGGAGACGGCCGAGCTGAGGGCAAGGCCTGGAACACAGCCTTCCCTGGGAACCCTGTCAGCACCTTGATTTTGGAGTTGTAGCTTCCAGAACCATAAGATGATGAATTTCTTTTGTTTAAGTTACCCATTTTTAGGTACTAAAACTAAACAGATGCTAAAAATTATAATTCAAGAAAGCACTCCCGAACAAAACAAAAAGATCTGAAGTAACACTGAAGGAGTGCGCACACTGCACCGGAGACCACTGGCCCAGAACCACCGACCTCGGGACACACTCTAGCAAAACCCCTGAACTTTACAGAGAAAATCCTCTGACCATCTAAGACAAAAGGGCACATAGCATACATAAATGGGAGAGAAAATTAGATTATCATTAGGCTTTTCTACAGCAATGCTTTATGCCGAAGAAAATGGACAAACGTATTTAAGAGACTCAAGAGAGAAAATGTGAGTCAGGACTCAAGTGTAAATGGCTCAGACTGTTATCAACATGTAAGAACTCCACCAAGGTCAATCCCAGAAGCTCTTCTTAAGGAATCTACTAGAGAACAAACTTCAGAAAGCCAAAATGGCTAGAGGGATGTCAACACGTGGATTGAGGGGAGCTCTAAAGATATATAGATTGGAAAGAGATTATGGAATGTGTGCTAGGTCAACAATATCTAAGCCCTAAACCCTGACCCTGTGACTGTGTCATGTTACATGGCAAAGGCACTCGGAAGATGTGCTTAAGGTTACACAACTTGAGATGGAGAAATTATCCTGGATTATCTGGGCGGGATCAATTTCATCACCTGAGCCCTTAAAAGCAGAGCATTTTTTCCTGGCTGAAGATGGAGAGATGCGGAGGAAAAAGAGGCAGGAGAGATTTAAACTGCAAGAGAGACTCGACCCACTGTTGCTGGCTTTGGCAATGAAGGGGCCATGAGCCAGGGAACAAGGGGTGGCCTCTGGAAGCTGAGAGCAACCCCTGGCCAAGAGCCAGCAAGGAAATGGAACTTGAGACCTGCAGCCACAGGGAATAAAACTGTGACAATGACCTGCATGCGCCTGGAAGCAGGCTCTGCTCAAGGGCCCAGCCCTGCTGACACCTTGGTTTTAGTCCTGTGAGACTCAAAGAAGAGAAACCAGCAGAACCCACCAGACTTGTGACCTACAGAATTATAAGACAATACAATTTATGTTGCCTCACACTGCTAAGTTTGTGATAATACTATGTAATGCCTTTATGACAATGTACTTATGGCATGGCAACAAATGAACAAACAAAATGAGGGAGAATGGGGATAGTGCATATAAGAGTTTTACAGTTTTCAGTAACCATAATTGGTGCATAGGATTAGCACTGTTGTTCTGAGACAATGCACAAGTATTATGGGATAAAGTAAATAGGGAATATCTTAACATTATCCCCTGTGTTCTTCAGAACCAGAATTCCAGTGTAGGAGAAAGGAGACACAGATGCACTGTGAAAGGGTTGAGTGAAACCCTGCAGTTCTGGTTTTGAACCAGAAACATCAATATGGACTTATGATGAATTCTATTATAAAAATCAGGGCTATATATAGCACCACTCATATCCCAGTCTGTCTACTGGAAAGACCTACACTGTAGCAGTGAGCACCCTAATGCCCAGACTGTGGTCTCTAAATATCATTTCTCGCTAAAAGAAACTAGGGCTTGTTGAAGACATGGCTGATTCCAGGTCTGGGTAAGAAATATATAAGGTGAATCTGGAAAGCTTGATAAAAAAAATAAAGCAAGAAAACTATTAGCGCAATGTCAAAAGGGCTCAGAAACCTACTTGAAGTGGCTCAAAATAGGACATTTGGAGCTTTAATAGGGACATAATTTGCATGGATTGAACCCCTTCTGGGGAGGACAGGCAACAAATTCACTGTCTTGAGAAGGAAAGATCAAGACTGGATCTTGCCTCGTCTCTACGAGTTGTACCCATGAGTAAACAAATAATGGATGGAGAGAGGCACCTCCTTGTAAAATTTCTCTGGCTAATGAATGAAAACAAAATGATAGAATCAGGAAATTACCCTTTTGTATGCTCTGGTAAATAAATGAGTCTAACTTTTGGGCATCCATAACCACTATCATTAAAAGAATGAAAAACAGATATGATGTGCCTCCTAGAACTCCATATTGTGTTCTTGGCAAAGCAATCAGGCATGAATCTGTGTGCGCCTATGAGTCCAGACACCAGTTTTTGGGAAACTGAGGATGGAGGAACAAGTTGACTAGCACCACGTGTGAGCAACCCAAAGCCAGCCTGCGAAAAGCTGTTTCCACAAAACTGCTGGGGCTGTGCAAAGGAGGCACTGCCAGGAAAGAAACAGCTGGGATGCGGGCAGGGTGCCTGCGGATGAAGGGAGACTTCAGGCCACACCTAGTTAACAGCTAAGACAAAATGCTAGTGTCCAGAGGTGGACAGGGCAGTGATAAAACCTCAGGGTGATTAGTCTGAAAGGAAGATGGTGGTTACTTTCACAGGGACGGGGGGGCTGGGATGGGGGTAGGTCAGATGGGGGCCTTGTGGGGTGGCTGCCAAAGTTCTGTCCCTTGACTGGAGTGGCGGTTACCAGGGTGGCTGCCTTGCAATGACACAGTAAGCTGTATGTGTGGTTTTCTGTATCTATGCTGTATTTTAGAGTAAAAGGTTAAAACAGACAAACACAACATCCAAGATCCCTCTGGCTGTCGTGTGCAGAAAGAACTTTTGTGGGGCAAGAAGCTGGAAGACCAGTCAGAAGGCCATGGCACTGGCCTAGGCTGGTGAGGCTGGTGGCGGGGAGAGTGGGAAGTGGCTGCTGCCCTGTGACATCCACCCATCAAGTATTTATTGGACACTGAGCACCAGGTCCCTGCTGTGCAAATACTGTGCATTAGCTAATTTAACTCCCAGCCACCCCCATAAAATAGGTACTATTATTTGTCAAAATGCTTGACTTACAGATGAAGAAACTAAGGCTCAGGGAGGTAAATTTGACTCCACCTAAGACCACAGAGCTGATGAGTCAGGATATGAACCCACGGAGGCTGACTGGAGCCTGCGTTTTAGCTCTGTGTGCAAAGGTGAGCGTCCGGCCTACGTGGAGAGAAAGCTCATGGCTCCTACCAGCAGGTAGGTCCGGTGGCATGGAGTGGGCTCCTCGGCTGTCAGGACCTCCGCCAATGCCTCGTACAGCTCGTCCAAAGGCTCCTCGTGGACAGCTTCATGCTGGGCGTGGGGGGAACAAGAGCTTCAGCAAGAGCATTAACATGACCCTCACGAATCAAACAAAGGCCCTATTTGCTTCAACTCTGACTTCTAAAAATGGCTGGAGGATTTTCACCAAATTTGAAGGGGCAGTTTGGGATGGATTAACATAACACGGGCCACCTGACAGATAAAAAATTCACTCGGTGGGGGAACCTGGGGTATCTCAAAGAGGTGAAGAGAAGGTGAGGGTGAGAGTAAGCTGTAGTCTAGGGCGGCGGAAATGGAATTGCACAAGAGCTGCTGTGTGACAGGGACAGAGAGCTCTGCCCTGGATCATGATGTCCTGGATGGAAAGAACAAATGGTGCTTTTAAGTGGGCCCAGGCAAAGGCCACAGGATAGGCACTCCACATTTCAGGGTGTGGCTTTGTCGGTGGGCAACGCCCTGTCCTGTGCCCCATGGGGGTGGGAAGGGGCAGCATCAGGTGGCCACGCTTCTCCTGGTGGAATGGGGGAGACCTGCCGGTGACTCTAGCTGCATCATGCTGGTGAGAAACGGAGATGGTGGTAAAGGAAAAACCTGGATAATTCCATGTACTAAGCCTGGGCGAGGCACAGCCCTTCTATTTAGAGGCTGGACACATTGGGTCTGTTACTGACCACTGAAGGAAGTAATAAGGGAGACTAGTTATAAAGCCATTGCAAGACCTAAAACCTCCAATGGGGACAAGACAGCAATATAGAGACTGGCAGCAGCAGGAAACTGCCAACACCTCTCAGGTGGCAGAGCAGAGGGAGAAAGTGGGGATTCCAGTGCTCAGGGCTGCCTGACAGGAACGAGAACTTGCACAGGACCACAGAGGAGACGCAGCTGCTGCCAGAGACGCCTTGAGGCAGAGAGGGAGAACTACCCTGGCTTCTCCTTTCCTCCACCTTCCATGGCCTTTTGTTGGTGGAACCCAGCTGGCAGACTGTGGCCCAGGGAGCACCTGCCAAAAGGGGGTTTGCAGAACAGGCAAAGGGCATAGGATGGATCTGAGCTGCAACAGGCAAAGAGGGGCAGAGGGCCCACTTCTGGAGAGCCAGCCACGTCCCAGACGCTGTGTGGACACCTGACAGACAGTGCCCACTGCTCACCTTTCTGATGAGCTCCGAGAGAAAGCACCGGGCATACCTCACCGATGGTGGATGCTTCACGCACAGAGGATGTTTCACGGTCTGTGACAAAGGACACATGTGAGCTGCCGGAGAGACCTGGTCTTAAGTCTCCCATGAGCTTTAACTGAATACAGGACAAACCCCAGTCACCTGATCCCTCTGCAAGGATATACATAGACACAGGGGTTCTGGCTCCAGATGATCTGCATCTGAAACAGTCCCAAGAATAAGTCTTTTCCTAAAAAAATTCTCTACTACAGCAGCACAGGCTGTGGCAGTGTTTCTCATGCCCATTTGGGGCAGGACCAAGGGGCATATGGAACCAAGCTAATACCCTGCTATCGACTGGATGTCTATGTCTCCCCAAATTCCTATGCTAAATCTAACGCCCAGTGCAATGGTATTATGAGGTGGGGCCTTTAGGAGGTGATTAGGTCACGGAGGTGGAGCCCCCCTGAATGTGTTTAGTGCTTCTAGAAGACAGACCACATAGAGGTCCTTCGTGCCTTCTACCATATGAGGACACAATGAAAAGATGGCCTTCTATGAACCAGGTAGCAGGCTCTCACTAGACACTGAATCTGCTGGCACCTTGATCTTGGACTTCCCAGTCTCCCAAACTGTGAGAAATAAATTCCTATTGTTTATAAGTTGCCTAGGCTATGGCATTCTGTTATAGCAGCTGGAATGGACTAAGACACAACCCTTCCCAGGGCAGCAAGCATGAATTAGAGTTTGCAGAAAGGACAAGTGTGGGATTGTCTGGCTCTGTGGAAGAGGCAAAAGCCCAAATGGTGGGAACAAGGCAGATTTGGCACCCATCCGTCCTCCTGGAGCTCACATCCTGGGCGACGGAGAGGAGCAGGAGCCAGACTGTGATGAATGCTACGATGGCCAAAGCAGAGGAAGATGGGGCTGCTGCCTGGAATGTGGAGGAGGGGGAAGGGGCTCTCGGGGGCGATAATCAGCAGGAACCTAGAGAATCAAAGAGCGGGGAGCGAGATCCAGGCAGAGGGAACAGTTTATGCAGGCTCCAAGGTGGTGCAGCCTGGCATTTTGGGAAGGAGGGCAGGATGACAGGAGCAATGAGAGCAGGGGCTAGGTTACGAGGGGCCTCTTGGCTAGAGAGATATGATTTTACCCAAGGGCAATACAGTACCCACACACTGCTCAAGGGGCTTTCTACTTGGCTGGTGTCAGATAGGGTGAGAATCAAGAGTAGGCTACAAGATAATGAACAATGAACTTAGACATCCCTGAGCTCAGAGTATTGAATACTAGATTGCCCTGGGAGTCCTCCCTAGCTACAGCTCTATTTTCTCCACCTGGTGGTCAGATGGATACTCCTGGCTCACCCTCCACACAGGAACTCTTAATCTGGGATCCTTGGATGGGTTTAGTGGTAGAGGGAGAATCTGTGACTTCCCTGAATTTATGTGCAAAATGTATTCTCATGCATTTTTTTTTCTAGGGGGAGAGTCCAAAACTGTGGGTTTGAGAAGGGCCCATGACCCTTCAAAGGACAGAGAGCCAGGTGCAGTATGATCTGCACTCGATCCACATGGCCTGTGCCCGGCAGAGTGGTGGTTCCATATGTACCCTGACCCACATGCTCCCGAGAACCCCAAACTCACCTCCAAAAAGCAAGGGCCCATCTATAACTAGGAAGGAGACACAAGTGGGCAAGACTCACATCCTTAGTTTTTCCTTAAATATGAAAAAGTCTCTGAACAGTTAGCAAATGCTAGATGTTCCCACAGCTATCATCTGTTTGCTCTATAGACAGACAGATGATTTCAAAAATCATCCCCCAGACTCCCTCCTCTCAAGTGGATTTTTGTATATTCCCTATCTTTATCCAAGAAAACAAAAGAGCCAGAGCTCTCTGAGGTGCTATCACCCAGATGCAGTCTTTCTTTTCAAAGGATACAAGCACACCCACTTCACTCCTGTCATGGGCAAGGAGGAGGCTGGCGACATGTCCCTTGATTCTGTGATTCTTACCTTCCGCAAAATATCCAGCAGCAGCTCCGAACCCGAGTGCCTTAATTTCTCTTCTAGGCTCTATTTGGAGACAGAGGGGAAGAGAGAGAAATCTCAAGGGCATTTTCACAGGAACATTAAACATGTAGCAGGACATGCTGGCAAAGTGCTAAGTGATCCCTCCCCAGGGACCTGGGGCCAATCAGTAGTGGAAGCCACAGGCGCTGAAAGCCTGCCCTTGACAAGTCCCAGGTTACACCTGGATGAGCTGCAGAAAGAATGTCAGGAGACAGATTCTTGGTTTGCATTAGCTCTGGCTGCTAAGCCTTGCATGGGTCACAGACAAGCTCCATGGCTGAACTGATCAGCCAGGAATTATAGTTAAGACATCAGCACCTGATGGGCTTGCGTTGGACTTGACCCCCAGTTAATGTGGACATATAGAATGTGCAGCTGCCAGGGCCAGCTATATACGCTGTCCTTTCCTACAGGGGACTCCAGCCCTGTAGTGAGCTCAGGCTCCAGAACAGGCTGACTGACTGCCTGGCTGGTGTGACACTGGGCAAATCACTTCATTTCTCCAGAGCAACTTACCACACCCTAAAAGACCCACAAGACCTGGACCTGGCCCGTGTCTCTCACCTCATCTGCCACCACCAGCACCCCATCCCTGCTCAAGCCAACTAGAGCCACACTGGGCCTTCTTGTAGCAGCTTGCTCTCACTGGCAGAGAGCCTCTGCATTCCCTGCTCCCCAAGACTTCCCACAGCCCGCTGCTTCACTGTTCAGGTTCTGGCTCTAATGTCCCCTCTGGGAGGCCTTCCCTGATTCCCCTACTTTGATGATACATTTCCTTGTTTTATTGACTTTGTAGCCACTGCCATCCCCTGGCGTTTTCTTGTTTATTCATTTACATATTTTTTTTCTCTGGCTCTCCCATCTGAGTAGGTCCGCGTCACTATGCTGCTGATCCTGGTGCCTGGCTCATGGAAGGCATTCAATAAACACTCGGTGATGGAATAAAAATACTAGCTAACACTCACATCCACTCACCATGAACCAGGAGGCACTGCCTCAGGTACTTCATTCTCATGTACTCCTGACAACAACCCTATGGATTAAGCATTATGATATCTCCTGTTTTACTAATTAAAAAAACAACAACAACAAAAAATGAAGGCCCAGAGGTATGCAGTCACTTGCCCAAGGTCACACAGATTGTTTGGGACTGGGCCAGGACTCCCAGCAGGCAGGCTGTCTCCCAGGTCTGAGCCCTCCACGGCTGCACTCTGCTTCTTTTCCAGTCAGTCTGCGTGGTCAAACACACTGACAGTAACAGTGCTCACCACTTGGATGTTGTGGGCCAGCTTAAGTATGCACTTAGTATGGTCCTGGTATAGATAGAGTATGCTCTCATCTCATGTGAACTATTCTAGTTGATACTGAGTTGGGTTCCACACATGGTGCTATAAAGGTTTAAATTTTGGGCTAAAAAATGTACATATTCCTGTCTGATCAGAAATGAGCTCTCAGAATGCTAAACGGTTTATAATCAATAAAATACAAATGGCAAACCACCACTCCTTAAGATGCGCAAGACGGGAGTCACCCCAGTGAGCTTGGCGCACAGGATATGTAAAGAAAGCAGTGTCACTAGCAGTTCCCTCTTGGCGAAAGAAGCTGCTGCCTGGACACTGGCCTGTGCAGCAATGGCAGGTCCTCAGGGCCGGGATGGGAGGGTGGTGAGACCTCTTTAGTATATTTTCTGGCTAGCTTTGTAGCTCCCTGTCTCTTCCATCAGAGGCTTAAGCGCTTCAAGCAGCCTCTGAAATGATTTTTGTCTAATGCTGATGATACAGATAAGAACACCTAGGTGTGTATGTGTGTGTGTGTGTGGGGGGGGGGTGGGGGGCGGTTTGTCTGTGACCTGATCACTGCACTTAACCGGAGGTCCGATCTCAACACCCGAGGAAGTTGAGGACGTCACGTGGCGGGGAGGGAGAAGGTGGGAGCCCAAAGCGCCTCCCTCAGCAGACCTTCACCACCCACCGACCGCCCTCAGCACGCCCAGCCGCCCACCTGCCAGGGGAACGAGCGCAGCGCGCGCGCCGCCAGGAAGCGGCGTTCGAAACTCTGCAGCAGGCGAGAGGTGTCCACGCTTTCCTCCGGCGCCATGGCGGGGCGGAGCCGCGGTGTTGCTCGGGAGACTGAGGGGAAGCGGGGCGGCTCCTAAAGGAGGCGAGCGGAGACGAACCCGGGGCAGGGCTTGGGGCGGGACCAGGCGCTGCTCGGCCCCTGGAGGGCTTGGGGTATTAAGGCGGGGCCCGCGGAGCTCCGATCCCAGGGTGTGGTGTAGGGGAGGCTGTCTGCGCGTCGCGGAATTGTGGGAGGTGGGACTTGGGGAAGGTTCGAGGCGGGTCTTGGAGGAGGGCTCTGAGCGAGGTTTGAGGTCTGGAGGTGGTGCTAGGGTTGGAGGGGGCGGTGCCAAACTATGGTCGGGGCGGAGTCATAGTGTGGCGCCAGATTAAAGCTTTTCAGAGAAGCAAACAGTTCCTTCGTAGCGTCTGATGAGGCTGAGATTCTGGTAATCAGTCTCGCTGTTCCTGCATCTTTATTAAGGGTCTTTCTGGCAAGGGCTGCCCCTGCGGCTTTATCCTACCTAGCCTTGTGCCCTTTAGCGCCACCCCTCTGTCTGAATGGGCAGAAGGGACTCTGACAGCCCTCCTGCCCCTCGAGGGTGTGGGAGTGCCTACCAGGCTCAGCTCGTGGGCTAAGGCCATGGTCACCCTGTCTCTCCTTGGAAAAGGGCATTTAGTTCAAGGCGTTTGTTTCCAAACTGGCTGGTGCACGGAGTGCAAAGAGAAACGGAAGCGAGGCAGACCATTCCAGATGGGTAGGTGGCCGGTTTAATAAGGGAGCTTACTTAAGAGTCTTGTCTTCGGTGTCTTCAACAGGAGCAAGTCTCTGCACTACCCGCCAGAATTTTAAAATGTCTGTAGAGGCCTTCAGTCACGTAACCGATCAAGGTGGTCTCAACACCACAGTTCTCTCAAGACGGTACCCTAGAATCAGCTCCCACTTTGGGAATGGTGGGCAGCGCAGGGAGAGGGTGAGGAGCCTACAACTGCCTGGAGCCGCCCGCTGGTCAATCTGTGGTCATATCCTCTGGATGACAATGTAGCGGGAGATAGCATAGGAAGAATCCTGAGACTTCGCTACTGTTGCTGGCCAGTGGCTAGTGTCTTGATTGCCAGGCAACACCTTTTAACTCTTAGGTAGCTGCTAGGAATGGGTGGCCAGAAGGGAAATAAAGGCAGGGTTTTCACCATTGCGATCTAACAAAGAACTTAATATAGAACTTAATATTTTTTTTTGCTAAAAGCAAAGAAAAGCACGCCTCACCCGTGATTTAGTAATCCTGAGCCTGGTCCGATAAGGCTGCCCGGCTTCCCAAACAACATAAACTATGATAGTGCAATGGGGGGAGCCCTTGAAAGTCTGTGTGTAACATCTCCACTGGCTGGGAAAAGGAAAAGCTTGAGACTGTGTATTTGTCCCAAGGCCTGGAGTGGGGAAGGGGTCTAAAGAAAGGACCATAAACAACTTTGGTTAACTGCCTGCCTCCCGATACCTACAAAATGAACGAATAGAGTCTAGATCAAGATCGGGATTCCGGCTAACAGATCCCCACATATACCTATGTTTAGGTAGTCATGTCTTCATGGAAGGCTGGCACCACCTTTAACCACCAATCAAAATGCAACTTCTTCACCCCCACCCCACCAATTATAGAAGTCCTCAGAACAAAGGACTCTCTTAGCCTCTCCTCAGGGCTCTGGGCTCCCACACAGGGGTGGGGTTGGGGGTGAGGTTGGGGGTGGGAGGGGTCGAGGGGTGGCCACTCGACCTCTGGCAGGGGGGCCTCTGGCCGCCAGGTCCCTGGCCACCCCCTTTTGGCCACCCAGCCTCTTACTACCTGGGTGCTGGCCACCCAGGCCTTTAGCCACCCTTGCTTTTGCTCTCCCATTCACTAATAAACTTTGCTTACACAGTAATAGACTCGCTGACTTGTAATTCTTCACTGTGTCGGCGAGAAGAATCAGGGTTTCTCCAGTAACAACACAAGGCAGGAGTTCTCACTCCCCCAGCTTTTGGGTCTATCCCTAACTCATGGGGACTTTTGTTCATCAAATACTTATGGAGCACTTATTATATGCTTTGCACTGCCAGGCACTGGGGATGCAACAGTGAGAAAAACCAGGAGTGGCCCCTGCTGTCCAGGGGCTCAGGGTCTCTTGAACTAATTATTACACAGATAAATGCAGAAGCATGATGAGTACATGGAGCTGAGTGGGAGTTCTCACTTTGGAGGAGAAAGGTAAGAGGGCTCTTGGGTGTTGTGGGGTGGCACAGAGGTGGGGTTGGGGAGGAAAAGAAGAATTATTTCTGTTCGATATTGTTATGTCTTGAGTGAAAGGGCAGACAGTTCACAAGTCACCAGTGCTGCCTCTGGGCTTTGAACTCTGTTCAAAATTTACACAGTTACCTTCCCAAATCTCTCATAAAACTCCACTTAGAGGTATCTTGAGAGCTAATTTGTTAAGTATACTTGCAGAAGGTAAATGAAAGGACAGATTAAATCTCATTACCCCTTTTGGATGAGAAATACCAGAGCCCTGCTCAGCTGTGAGAACAAGAGAGGAGAATTAATTCTAATGGAATGTATTTATTCTCTCATATCTGTTGTGCTTCTTCCACAACCAGGTGAACACAGGATCTGACACAAAAATTGTTCATCTTTTATTCCTGTAACACTGTTGACTTAAATAAAGAAGCTGTGCTGTGGTTATTGCTGTGTTTTTACATGGAATTGATAGTTTCTCGTTTTGAGATGTCGCATGAACCCTCTTCAGTCACAGTGTCCTGAGAAAGAGTCACCTGTGATACAACTATGAGTCTTAACTTTGAGCCTTGTTCCTAAAAGGATGTCTTCGGGAGCTGGGCCAGGTGTGTTGGTTCATTTTTGTTGTTTTGATCAGCTCTCTGCCTGTAGGAGAAAACCAATGGGAATGGGTCAGTTAAACTCATAAATATAGGGTTTATTCTATGAACACACATAATAGCTATTAATTACCTTTCCTCTGTGGAGCTAAAGGACATGTATAGTCAATGCCATAGTAATACTGTATGATGTTATACTAAGATATTAATAAACCTAGGCTGGCCCAACTTGTCTTAATGCCACAGCTGGGAGGCAGATGGGGGAAGGACCCTGAGTGGGCAACGGCATTGATCTGCACCCAGAAGAAAACTATCTTTGCGTGTGAGCTCTCAGGAGGACAAAGGTGATACATTCCAGGTCTGAATCTAGAAGGATCAAGGCACTGAAGGGATGTCTAATGTTCTATGAACCTCAAAGGTGTGGTACATTCAGGCATAAGTGACAATTAGGACTGCTCTTTAACACAGGTAAAAATTCTAGGTGGTGTTAATATGGAGAGAAGCATCAGGACACATCCCAGTGGTCCTTCCGGTGGCAAGAGGGAAGATGTGTTAAAGATTCAGCTTCTGGATGTGAGAATTTCAATAATAAAAATGTCTTTATGGAATGGCTGCCTTTTATAAGTTATGCTGTGGGCATGGCAATTTAATCAGTACCTTGCAGTTTTTCCTGTATCTCTCCTATGGCTAATGGTTTCAGTAAAAAAAGACCAATTGATTTCTTTCTAAAATGTTGCTTCAGGGTGTAGAGACCTTTATAGGTCATGTTTCAACTTACAGGATAATTTTATAGTTTAAATATAAATTACGTTATACGTGGGCTTTGAAATGGAGTTAAGGACAAAGTTCCAACTTTCCTTAGTTTATAGTGTTCTCATGCTATGTTAAAGTAGAAGAATGGTCAGGGTGGGGTATAATAACACAGGAGGCTCAGTCTATTGATAAATTATTGAGATGCAGAAGGCAGTGCACCGGGATCATATAATGCTTTGATTGGTGGCAGGACCAACATTATGGGTTGAATTATGTCCCCCCAAAAGATACCTAGGAAGGTGACCTTATTTGGAAATAGGGTCTTTGCAGATATAATTAAGATGAGATCACATTGGATTACAGGGAGCCCTAAATCCTATCACTGGTGCCCTTAGGAGACAGAGACACAGGGAGGAGGCGGCTGTGTGAGGGTGGAGGCAGAGATTGGAGAAAGAACATCGAGGATTGCTGGCAACCACTAGAGGCTAGAAGAGGCAAGGAAGGACCCTTCCCTACAGGTTTCAGAGGGACCATGGCCCTGCCAACACCTTGATTTTGGACTTTTAGCCTCCAGATCTGTGTGAAACAATACATTTCTGGGCTTTAAGCCACCCAGTATGTGGTGCTTTGTTACGGAAACCCTAGAATACTACAAACAGTGCATAATTTGGGGTGGAGGGGAAGGCAGTGCAAAATGAAAATGCAGGGTCCTTGTTGAAAATTAAGAATTTTGAGACTGTGACAGTAGATTATTAAACCAAGACGCTGTCTCTCCTGAGCCCTGGGCCCAAGCTGGCTCTGGTTGCTGGGCTCTCAAAGTGCTGGACACCCCGTGGCAGGAAATGGTTGAAATGGATTATTACTCTGTGTACCAACCACAGGAACCCCAAAGGCCACTCACTTCTTTTTCCGACGAACTGCTGTGTATATCACGCTCGTGACAAACAGAACTGCAAGAACTCCTGTGACAACCCCAAGACCTATTGCGGTGTTTCGGAGAGCAGAGGTCTTCTGCATCTCTCCTCCTGTTAAAAAAAAAAGTCAGATGGTTTTTAATTGTCCAATTATTAAGATGCTATTCCAGCTGCTCCTGGGTCCCTGGGAAGTTTCCCATCCAGGCAGTAGTGGATATTAATTATGGAAATGAAATGTACATTTAACCCAAGAAAGTGCTCACTGTAGAGAAATCTCACAGGGCAAGTTGTTGAAATCCGATTTACTAAACGGCCTATTTGCCAAATGACCCATTTGCCTAATGACTGCTTTGCCAAATGACCAATTTGCTAAAAGCCAATTCACGGAGAATCAGTTGTGGAATGTCCTGCCTATCGGTGGTAACTGATGGTCAGACAAACCTTACGCTGGCCGCCAATGTACTACGGGACAGAAGGAGGGCCCAAATAGTTGAGCAAAACCCTAAAGTTAAAAAAAATCCTCAGTAATTTTGTGAAACAGTCATTTATTTAATTAGTTTTCTGCAAAATGGCCTGCTTTCTGTAAGTTCACAAGAAGATTGTGGGCAGTGGCTTGGAAGAAGGGAAAAGGGTGCAGGAAGCTATTCTTTTTTTTTTTAAGATTTTATTTATTTATTTTTAGAGAGGGAAGGGAGGGAGAAAGAGAGAGAGAGAGAAACATCAATGTGCGGTTGCTGGGGGCCATGGCCTGCAACTCAGGCATGTGCCCTGACTGGGAATTGAACCTGCGATACTTCTGTTCGCAGCCTGTGCTCAATCCACTGAGCTATGCCAGCCAGGCCTAGGAAGCTATTCTTTATACTCTGCTCTGCTTGAGGGTGGTTGCTCTGAGCACTTGATAAATCATCGGGCAGTATCTAAGTCTCTCCTGGCAGAAGGAAAGCTGGCCAGTGTTTGCAAACAACTGAATTCCAGAGACGATTCCTTTATTCCTTTATGTCACCCAGATTTGGAATTTTGAAGTCTTAAGAATTAGCAACCTCATTTACAGGGGCCCCTGCCCCTTTCTTTCAGCAATGAGTGAAATGGGCAAGCAGCATTTTTCCAGGCAGTAGCATGCATGGAGTTGTAGAAGGAAGGCTAATTTTTGGTATTTATAAGGGACATCTGGGGGGGCAGACTGAACACAGTTTCTGGGGATCAGAAGGATTATCCTCTAACTTCCTCTATGGAGAGCCTTCCCTTTGCCCCAGAGGCACTATGTAAAATGTCACCAGCCTGTCCTCTGCTATCTTTTTGGAACTGCTGATATCTTGTGCTGGGGGTGTGGAAGCTGCTGGGAAACAGGATTATTCTGCTTGATTTCGCCCCCTCCCCAGGAGACTCCATTATGAATCTATTGTTTCTCAGGACAAAACAAACTACACTGCCAGTTTTTTTGTGGTTGCTTTTGTATCTCACCTGGCTGCTGGTCATGAGAGGCCACAAGCATTTCCTGGGTGACTGCCAGGGAGCCATTGTGGGGTTCAGGGGTAACCCCCAGGAGCTTACACATGAGTGGGTAGATATGTATGCTGTCAAAAGGCTCAGCCAGGTGATTCTTCTTGAAATCTGGCCCGAAAGCTCTGAATATGGTCTTCATGTCCATGTGGACATTATCAAAACCATGATCTCCTTTGTTGAAATATATTATAAGTCGCTGAAAAATAACAACAAAAAAGCCATTTTAGATCCCAATTCACTGAAAGAAAACTGCCCCTTAGTTAATATCATGCTTGTCAGATCCACGAAATCTTTGAAAATTTAAATGACAAGGCAGGACACTGCTTTTAGCAGTGGCAGACAGAAGAGCAAGGAGTGAAAGATCTCCAAGAAAGAATAAAGAAAGCATGCCCATTAGAAACAGCAAGAAGATAACATGATAACAATACTGACGATAACAATAAGCTCAAGCATAGAGTTCTTACCATGTACGATGAATGGTTCTGAACGATATATATATATATATACACACAAACTCTTTTTACCCTCATGGTGGCCCAGCAAGGGCACTATTATCATCATCCCTATTTTGAAGATAATGAAAACTGAGGAACCTGCTTGGAATCATGTAGTAGCAAGATTTGGAGCAGATTCCTGAACCCAGCCTGCCTGGTTCTTGAGCCAAGTACTCGAATTTTGTCACATATAATGCACACTTGTTTTGTCCAAAAGTTTTAGGGAAAAATGAGAATGCACATTATACGTGGGTGCAATGACTACATACCATGGGCCTAGTAATCCAATATATAATACACACCAAAACATGGATGCGCATTGCACATGGCAAAATAGGATTTTTTTTTATAGCACAGAAAAAAATATATATATTTTTCAGGGTGGGGGAAAGTTCGGAAAGGAGGGAATAAAGACTGCAGGTAATTGTTTAATGAACGACAGATAGGTTTTTGGCTGTGCCCCTTTTCAAATAACTAAGTAACATCAGTCACAACACTGTTTATATTTTGTTATGACCAACAGATATTCTAGCATGTAAGAAATGTGATGCTCTGAGCTCTGGAAAGTTGGTCTCATATTTGGCCTGGTGAACGGAGAAAGCTCCTATCACTCAGCTCAGGCTCCCTTGCCCTTCCTGAAGAAACCAGTCCAATGACCTTTGAGGCCATGGGGCAGCCCATAAAGAGCAAGTGCCTGAGCAATGGCCTCATATAGTTTGTAGGCTCCTTAGCACCTGCAGAGAGAAGATAGCATCCACTCCATACTTCAAGGCAGGCAGGTAGATGGCAATCGGAGAAAGTATACTTAGTGGGATGTACTGAGACCAAAGAACATTCTCTCTAATGGTCAGTTTGCCAGAAGATTAAACTGATCACAGCATCCTATTCCCTCAAACTATCTGGTTGTTCATGCTGGGAATGTGACATCCCTCTGAACGACTGTATATTACTTGCAACCTGTTACATCATGAACCAGGTTTACAAAGAGGCCACTGACTCTGGAATCTCTCCTGGAGAGGCCTTAGCTTCGGGCGTACATCCTCAGGGTTTTGGGCTACTTGAGGGATTACAAAATACCAATAAATTGTTGCATTTTATTGTGAATACTTCTACCACCATTAGAGAATAACCTAATGAATTTTCCAATACCTGTTATACTCAGGACTTGCAGTAAGCTGAGAGTATACAGATTGCAAACATAATTATAATGTTTGGCTCCTGTCCACAGCCTTAGACAGGAATTCTTCAAGCTGTACCTGAGATGGTCTTTTGTTGTGGATATTTGAACATCTCCTCAGCTTTGTTCTGCCATGAATTATTGGTTGGTAGGTAACAAGAACTGCACCATTTCACTTATGTCTCACAATTAGCATTGATTTTGGTATTTTCTTCTTTAGACTTGCTTATTTTTCTCATGACAGCTTTGTTGAGATATAACTCATATACCATACAATTTACTCATGAAAAATGTACAACTGGATGATTTTTAGTGTATTTACAGAGCTGTCCGACTATTACCACAATCAAGTTTAGAAGATTTCTATCACCCCCTAAAAGAAACCCTGTGGCTTCCTTAGTCATTCCCCACTTGTCCCCCCAAGTCCTCCCTACTCCTGACTCTAGACAACCACCAATTTGTGTTCTGTCTCTATAGATTTTCCTGTTCTGGATATTTTATTTAAATGGAATCATACAATATGTGGTACTTTGTATTTAACTTCTTTCACTGGGCATAATTTTCTCAAGGTTTATTTGAGTCATAGCATGTATCAGGACCTCATTCCTATTAATGGCCATATAATGTTCCACTGTATGGATGTACCGTATTTGTTCATCCTTTCATCAGTTGGTAGGCATTTGGGTTGTTTTCACTGTTTGGTTATTGTGAGTGATGCTGCTGTGAGCATTTGTCTATTAATTTTTGTGTGAACAAGATTGCTTTATAAAAAATTATTTATTTATGGAGAGAGGAAGGAAGGGAGGAGAGGAAGAGAAACTTCAAAGTATGGTTGCCTCTGGCATGCACCCCACCCAGCCAACAACACAGGCATGTGCCCTGACTGGGAATTGAACCAGCTACCCTTTGGTTCACAGGCCAGCACTCAATCCTCTGAGCCACACCAGCCAGGGCTGCTTTTTTTTTTAATTAAACAGAAAACAGGTGCAAAGGGGAACCAGAAGTTTTTTTTTTTTTTGTATGTGTGTGACTCTCCTGGTGATCTGTACATGATAATCAGGCATTCATGCTTGGGTTTAGACCTCAGCCTTACACGTCTAATCCCAAATCACTTCTCTCTAGCTCTGGTTTCTTCCTCATTAAACTGAGGGAGATAAGAGCATCTGTCTTTAGGGTTGTTGGAAAGAGAACATTGAAATAACTCATATTAAGTTTTTGGCACAGTGCTGGACAATTAACCGTGGCTAAGTTTGTCATTATCATTGCATAATGCTAACATGGGCTGTGGGGTGGGTGGTGGGGAACACATAGAAAACAGTGGGTTACCACTCATTGCGCATGCACTTATGTTTTGATGTTTTCCAGAACCATCCCTCCCTAGTGGTTGTCTCCCAGATCCCAGATTACTTAATTCATTTTAGAATCAACTCACCCCATTAATGTTATAACCAGAGTCGGCAAACATTACAATTGGCAGGACCCGCTCATGCTTAGCAAAATGGAAGCGTTCTGGAAATTCTTCCTTCTTATAGACATTGAGATGAGGGTGTGCATTCTTCAGTGCTTGGTAAAGGGCTTCCTCTTTCCCTGGTATGGGCAGGATCATCCCAAAGCCTCCATAGTCCACAATATCAAACTTAACCAAGTCCTTGTACCTGATGTAGTTGGTCAAGAGGATCTCAGTGACATTGGGCTTCTTTTTCACTGTGGTCATGCCGTGGTCTGATGTGATGATGACATTGAGGTGCTCAGTCAAGCTGTGCCTCTCAATGGCTTCCAGTAGGTACCCAATGGTTCTGTCGATTTGCTGAATAATTACCCTTCGGTTTTCCGTCTCAGGCCCATACCGGTGCCCCACATTATCTGGCTCTCCGTAGTACAGAGTCACAAAGTCAAAGTCTTCCTTAGTGAACCAGTTCATTACAATATCAATGTTCTCCCTCCACTCTGTCTCATTGCTGTTCGGGTGAGAGTAAGACTCCACCAGGGACCTCTGGATGGCTTCTCCTTTGTACTTAGCACCTCCCCCAGGATAGTGGAATGATGCCGTCTTCCTCCCCTGCAAGCACAAGAAGAAAATCTCATCAAAGTCATTTCTCATATCTTTCTCATAATAAGCAAAGCCCAACTTGTTGACATCCCTGCCCTCATCCAGAGGTTTCGAAAACACATGAGCTTTGGAGCCATGGGGTTTAGACATGGGGTGAAACCAAGGATTTAATTCTTGGCTTCACCAGGATTTCACTGAATCTAAACCCCTGTTAGTTGAAAGACATGCCACTATTTTAGACACTAACAGGAAGAACAATGCTGCCAATGAAATCATGACACTCCGGTGATTGGAAGATGTATTCTAACTTCAGAGATGGCAAAATGAAAAAAAAAGTTCCTTAGAATGGAGGAAAATGGCCTTCTAAGCTGGTGAAAGTGAGTTCTTTAATCTCTTATGATTCACTGTTTCTACATGTAAAAATGCCAAAAAGCTGATGGCATTTTTGTGAGGTTTGAGCTAGATAATTTGAAGCTGAAGTGTTGGGCATTGTGTTTTGGCACATAGTAGGCACTCTTTGCCTTCGGATATAACAAGCCACCACAGGCCTGACCCAGTGTGTGTAGTGGACAGTTAACATGTTTGCCTGCCCAGCATCCACTCCCTTGTCTGCTGGTTAGAGTCCCCTGACTTTCCCTGGAGACACGTCTCTCTGTCCTTGCTCCGTGCCAGGCTCAGGATGTATTGGTTCCACATCTGGCTCCTGATGTGGGATGAGGCTCTAGCTTGGCTACAGAGGACACTGCATCATCTGGTCACTGTAGTTAGTTCAGCCTTGGGCCCATGTCGCAGTCAAGGTAATAAAATATGATCTTGGTACTTCCTCTGGAGCTGTTGGAGAGGGGAGAAGCTGCCCTACTGGTTCCCATATCTAATTCTTTTAAAATTTGTAGGGGTTTGGAAGAAGGGGGAGATTGCTATCTTGTTCCCTGTGCAGATGTTTGCTCAACCACTGGGCCTGATGATCTGCCTAGAGGCAGAACAGTATGGTAGTTAAAAGAGTGCTCTGATGCTGGATTGCCAGGTTATATCCTTTTCCACCACTTGGATGCATGTTACACTCTCCACCTCAGTTTCCACATCTGTAAAATTGGGATGATTATGCCACTTCATGGGCTGGCCATGAGAACTAAATGCATGTAGAGCACATTAGTAACTATTTAATGAGTTTAGCTTTGCCTGGAGACAAAGAGCATTGGGCGAGCAGGCATGGTCAGGTGAAGAGGGGGCCAACGATTCTTTCCTTTAGTTTCTGTCACCTGTGGGGCACTGAAGGTGAATCTGGAATATACCTATATACCCCAGGGCTGGGGACTGCAGGGAGGGAAGATGAGGTTGAGGCCTTTAGTAATGGCAGAAGTGACTGCAGAATGGGACATCGGGCTCTTCACATAGGAGGAATGGCGTGGGCTGGCCATGAAATGTGGCTGAGTTTTGCAAGGCCCCAGAGAGGCCTGGGATTGCTGCTTGACACTGATACTCTTGTCAGTGGGGCCTGGTGACCTTTACCCCTCTGTCAGGCCATGGTCATCTAGGCAGGGCAGCAAATTATAGCCAACAGGAAAAGACTCCCTACAATCTGTCACAGACTCCCTATAATCTGTCACAGGAGTTGCTAATATCTCTTTCTTCTCCTTGTCTCCAGAGAGTAAACCAGGAAAGGGTGCGTGAGTATCTGAAGGAGTAGAGAGCATAGGCCATGCTCCTTTTACCCCAGGCTGCTGGAGCCACCAGGGGATCTGTAGAGAGGATAGGAGACACGTGGGGAGGGAAGCTATGACTGGGTTTTGAGATGAAGTTTCCACCATGAGCAGAACTGAGTCTTCAGCAATGAGGCTGCTTTAACAACACAAGTGACTGCAAAGTCATGAAGATATTCTTAAGTAATCTACTCACCAGCAGGAAGGTGACTTTTGAATAAAGTGTGGTAAAACAGTTTGGAAAAGAAAATACTTTTCTGTATGCTCACCAATGTGTTAACAATGAGATGGACACATTACTAAGTAGGTTCTGTTTTTACAAAGCAGCTCCTTAACCAGGAATGGGTGCGTAGCAGGTACTCAATAGATTTTTGGTTTCAGTGAATGAATGGCCTGCTTATTTGGGGAGCATATACTTTCCTTCATCTCAGCTAAGCTATTACCTTAAGGGTTTTTGTGACACACCCTGTATCATCCAAGATTTGGATATTCTGAAAGAACACTCTGAAGTTATTGGTTTTAGAATAACCAAGGGATGGTGTTAGTGTGACTATGGTATGTTGATTTGGTATGGAGATAAATGATTAGGAAGAATAATGGCTCCTGGGTTATGGCTATTTTGTCAATAAGTGAACAGAAAAGTATAATCAAGAGTAATACCAAAATGTCTCATGTATGTTTGGGAAGTAAGAAAGCAATTTGGAAATTGTAGGGGATGCTAAGGGTGCCCCACACAGATCCCCTTACTGGGCCAATACACTCACACCCATTTCTGTGAGTGTGGCTGCTAATGACTCTCAGCTACCTCATTATCTGGAAAATTACCCTCACTCAAGTAGCCAAGTCCTGTCTCACCTGGGAAGGTGTCCTATTGTGTTCCTCCAGCAGCAGGGGCCTGTGACCAGTGATTGACTGAAGGGAGGACATAAGATCAGCTCTCTGGCCTCAGGGAGAGATAACTTTGAGGTTCAATTTATGCTCCAGAGCTCCCCGTGAGGTCAGGCTGAAGCTGGTCTCCAGCTGGGACCATGTCCCACTTAGTCCTTTCCCTTGCCCTGTCAGTTTTCCTTATTCCTATCTCCTGAGACCCCTCTCCCAATGCATTACATGAACTGAATCCCTTCCTCAGGATCTGCTTTCAGGAAACTTGACCTAAGACACAGTCTTAATACTAAATACTTTGCAAGGCTCTAGGAGTCGTGCTATCCTTAGCTATAGGTGAAATATTACCCCCTCCACCCTCCAGCATTCATTTTCTATTATCCCATTTTCCCTAAAGTGCCTTCTCCAATATGAAATCATCTTGATTTGTTTACTTATTTACGGTCTATTTCTCTCTTCTAGAGACATCAGGGGATATGTCTATCTTGTTGACCGCACTTTTCCTGGGAATTAGAACAGGCTTGGCTCAGAGTAAGTGCTATTGATTAAATGCATGCTGAGTGAGTGAATGAATCATGTCTTCTTTTGTAGGTATAAAACCCATCCTGTTCTCACTCCTGATTAACTTATACAAATAGTTACAGAAACTCTCTTTTGGGGTCTACCATCTTATTTGTAACCTCCACAGGTAACACATTTCCTTTCTGATAATAGAATTTCTATGGTTGGTTTAACTTGCAAATCCTCTAATATTTATTTATCGCATTTTTGATTGGCAATCAACATAATTCTCAGTTTTCAGTGATAGTGCTTTGTTTAACTTACATATAAATTGACTTTGTTCTGAAGTATGGAATGACTGGAAGGATGACACTTCTAACATTTTGTGGAATGTAGTTTGGCTATTTTATTATTTAGAATAGGTGACATGGATATCCTGAAGGACTTATGTGGCCCTACATATCCAGTAGAGTTCCTGATGTTTGCATGTTAAGTCTCAGATGTTCCTAACTTGGAACTGAATTGTTTTCTTATGCCATATTTACAACACACACCTTTAAAGATATTCTGAGCTGTAGTCTTAGGAAACTATGATTTTTCTCACTTGGTCCCATAGGAATTTTAGGAGCTGTGCTGCTCTGTGAGATGAGCTCCAGAGAGAAATGTGTGTGAGTGCACACACACACACTCACACATGACTCTGTTTATTTGGGACTCAAGATAATCAAAAGTGCTATTTTCAACAAATACTTCCGAGAAATAATCTGAGCCCTTAATTTGATGCAAAAGAGTTGGTATTTACTATTCTACCCTTTAATTAGCATAATCAGTGTTTCCAGTAGCAATAGCAATTGGAAAATCACTAATTTTATTAGGTTCATTATTCTCCCTTAGTGTAATGTCGCATCAATGTGGCTATTACTTTTAAGTTGCTTTTTAAAAACAAGAGCTTGTACTTCCTACCAGGAAATCCTGACTGTTGGGTTTTAAACAGACTCACCAAACTCTTCGGAACCAATAATTAGAGGAAAAGTTTCCATTTGGTTTTGCATTTTATCTTGTCTCTTCCTTTAGGTGAAAGAATTAATGTCACAAGGCACATGTTTTATGAATGTGCTTTGGTGGGGAGTATGTGTGGCTGAGGAGAAGGAGTTCGTTACTCATTCCAGGGAATGATTGAGTGGATAGAGATGGGCTCCATGTGTTTGAAATTAAAACATCAAAATTGGTTCTGGGTGTTTTTATTGCTTTTCTGTGCTAATAAGGAGTCACTGAACAGAAGGCAGTTAGACATTCAAGATTCTGTTTTCTTCCCCTCCTACCCTTTTTGGAGGAGAGGTTGTTATTCTCAGAACCTTTATGATGCACAATAAAGACAGGGTTTAGGTCAGTATTTGGATGCATTATTTTGTTATTCTAGGCACATCTTGCTCACAGCTCTTCCAACTTTGGAAACTATTGTCTAGGAGACCTGGCTTACAATGAGAACCGAGAACTGTAGCTGCCCTCCCACCCTCTCCTCAAGTCCCCTCCTGGTAGTCACCTACTGTAGTCCTGTTACAGACTCTTGGCACCAATGAAGATCTCACTCAGATCATCCTCTGCCATGTCGCTGCTTAATACACTCTGTAGCTTCTCCACAGAGAGGCAAAGCATGCCCCTAGGTTTTTATGGTTTTCCTAGGTTTTATAGTCATGGCTGCCTGCCTTTCTCTGAGAATTAGAATTTGTGAATGTGGTGACATACCTTGGCCATTGATCATATTCAGTTTTTGGGGGTGCTCATTGCAAATCTGCACAATGGAGCCTCTCAGTTTACACCCTGACCATTCGTGAAGTGCTGCTCGAATGCGAGTATACTTGTGGGCTGTGAATAATGGACACAAAGGTGGTTAGGGATCCTATCTTTTATGCATCATCCACCAAGGCATCTCAATTCTCATGTATCTTGATGGGCTCCAGCAGCATTAGTGTCACCGATGGAAAACATTTTAGTCACATTAAAGGTTCATGTATCAATCTCCACAAAGTTTACTGGGAAGGGACTTCGAAGAAGGATGGATTTTCCTAATGATGGATATGGGGCAGGCCCCCTTCCTCCAGCCCTGCCTGGCAATACAGATGTGCCCCTGAATGGCATTTGGGGCCAGCAGTCCAGCTGTTCCTGGGGCACTGGCCTGGGGCTGCTGGTTTAATCTGATTGAAGCAACTTTTCTGCCAGCCCCTCAGGGAGCTTGCTGATGGCCCTGGCCAGTGGCAGGAGCTGCCAGTGGCAGAATGAGATATACCAACTTGACATTCACATGCCAAATGGTGTGCTGTCAATTGCCTGGCCCTGTACCAGATCCTCTTTCTGCACAATGACATGAATTAAACAAAAAGGAAAACAACTCTGATTATGAATTGGGCGGAAGGAAACAAAGTCCTGCAAATAAATGGCAATGAGACAAGAACCATGAGTAAAAAAATAGGAAAGGAGAATGCTACCAGAGGCCGCATGCCAGCGAACAAATACTATGGCAAGAGATTAAAGAGGCCTCGGGTTTAGAATAGTGAATTAAAGAAGATGGTCCAGACCTCTCTAGCAGCTAGGCACATAGCAGATTTACTATGAAGTTCATGGCTAAGTTGTTTTGGCCACAGAAGTAATATTATGTCATGATTAAGTATTAACAGTGGCTGAGCCCAGGGTGGCTTTATGTATGTATGTATGTATGTATGTATGTATGTATTTATTAAATATTTTCTTTTTAATTATATTTTATTATTTAAATTATTACAGTTGTCCTGATTTTCCCCTTAGCCCCCCTCTACTCAGCATCCCCCACTCCCTCAGGCACTCCCCCCACCATTGTTCATATCCATGAGTCATGAGTATAAGTCCTTTGGCTACCCCATTTCCTATACTGTACTTTACATCCCCATGGCTATTCTGTGACTACCTATTTGCACATCTTAATCTCCTCACCTCTTCACCCATTCTCCCACACCCCTCCCACTTGGCAACCATCAAAACCCTCTCCATATCCATGATTCTGTCTCTGTTCTTGTTTGCTTAGTTTGTTTTTCAGATTCAATTGTTGATAGATATGTATTTTTTTTGCCATTTTATTGTTCATAGTTTTGATGTTTTTTTTCCTTAAATAAGTCCCTTTAACATTTCATATAATAATGGTTTAGTGATGACGAACTCCTTGAGTTTTTTCTTGTCTGGGAAGCTCTTTATCTGCTCTTCAAATCTAAATGATAGTCTTGCTGGGGAGAGCAATCTTGGCTATAGGTCCCTGCTTTTCATGACTTGGAATATTTCTTGCCAATCCCTTCTAGCTGCAAAGTTTCTTTTGAGAAATCAGCTGACAGTTTAATGGGAACTCCCTTGTAGGTAAATCTCTGCTTTTCTCTTGCTGCTTTTAAGATTCTCTCTTTATCTTTAATCTTTGACATTTTAATTATGACGTGTCTTGGAGTGGACCTCTTTGCAACCACCTTGTTTGGGACTCTCTGTGCTTCCTGGACTTGCCCATCTATTTCCTTCATCAAGTTAGGGAAGTTTTCTTTTATTATTTTTTCAAGTAGATTTCCAATTTCTTGCTCTTCTTCTTTTCCCTCTGGAACCCCTATGATGCAAATGTTGGCATGCTTGAAGTTGTCTCAGAGGCTGCTTATACTGTCCTCATTTTTTGTATTCTTTTGTTCTTTTATTGTTCTGATTGGTTGTTTTTTTTTTTTGCTTCCTTATATTCCAAATCATTGATTTGATTTTTGGCTTCATCCACTTTACTGTTAGTTCCCTGTAAATTGTTCTTTATTTCAATTAGTATACCCTTCATTTCTGACTGGATCTCTCTTTTATGCTGTTGAGGTCCTCACCAAGTTCCTTGAACATCCTTAGAAATAGTGTTTTGAACTCTGTGGCTAATAAATTGCTGATCTACTTTTTGTTTAGCTCTTTTTCTGGAGTTTTGATCGTTCTTTCATTTGGGTCATGTTTCTTTGTCCCCTCATTTTGGCAGTATCCCTGTGTTTGTTTCTATGTATTAGGTAGAGCTGCTTTGACCCTGTGTCTTGATAGTGTGGCCTAATGTAGTAGGTGTCCTGTAGGGTCCAGTGGCACAGCTTCCCCAATCACCCAAGGTGGGTACTTGAGGAACACCCTTTGCATGGGCTGAGCACACCCTCCACTTGTAGTTGAGCTTTTGTTGCTGTTGGCAGATCAGTGGGAGGGATTTACCCAGACCAGTCAGCTGCAAAGATTGTCTGTGACCACTGACCACACACCTCTACCCTCTGTGGAGGATCAGCTGTGCAGGGGCAGGGTGGTGGTGCTCCAATGTGGTCTGTAGCTGTCCACTGGGTGTACTGGCCCTGGGGTTTCCTGGGTGGTGTAAACCAAGATGCCCCCACCTCTGTTTTTCCCAGGGCCACCCTGCCTGAGCTATAAAGCAATCTGAGATGGCTGCTACTTATTCTGGGCTTGGAGATTCCCAGGCAAACCCAGGCTGGCTACTGCTAGTGCTGGGCCTGGGGCTCACTGAGGCCTGCTGTTGCTTTTTTGATAGTATTTAGGAAGTTGTGAACTTGAGCCAAAATCAGCCATTCATATGGGAAAGCAACTTGGGTGAGCCTGTAAGTTGGGTGGGATAAATCTCTGGGGATCTCCCAGGAGGATCAAACGGTGTTAGCCATATTGATGGAGTCTCAGATATGGCACAGCTTGCCGGTTCTGTGGGGGGAGGGTTTAGAAAAGGGAAAATGGCCTCTGCTCTCCTTGATGCCAGACACTTCAGTTCCTCCCTGTATGCCACTGGTTCCTTCAAGCTGCTACCCTGGTGCCAGAACTCAGAGGGAGTGAGTCTGAGTAGGTGAGTCTGTGTGTGGGTCCTTTAAGAGGAATTGCTTAAGACTCCAGAAGTTTCTTCCACTGACTTAATCCCCGCTGGTTTTTGCAGCCAGAAGTTGTGGGGACTTATCTTCCTGGCCCTGGAACCCTGGGCTGGGTGGCCTGGTGTGGGGCTGAGACTTCTCACTCCTGAGATATCCCTTCTGAATTTTTATCTACCACATATGGGCAAGGGACCAGCCTGTACTGCATCTGCACCTCTCCTACCAGTCTGGGTGGATGTGGTTTCTTTAATTCTGTAGTTGTCAGACTTCCATTCAAGTTTGTATCTGACAGTTCTAAGTGATTCTTGTTCTATATTTTAGTTGTAATTTTGATGTGGTTGTGCAAAGAGATGAGCCATGTCTGCCTATGCTGCCATGTTGACTGGAAGTCTCTGATTCTGGAATCCAGCTAGGCATTTGTGGAATCTGTTGGGAAGGCTGCCAGGCAGAGCATTCTGGAAACCTCTAGAATGGACTGAAACTGCTGTTCCACAAGCAGAATTTCTTCTTCTGGCTTCGTGTCTTTGTGAAGTTATGGCACTGCTCTGTGCTTCAATTCACTCATCTGTTAAATGGGTATAATCATACCTGCCTCAGAGTTGTTACACATTAATATATGTAAAGTACTTAAATCAGTTCTGGCTCATAGTGTTATGAGCATAATTTTCTTGGAAAGACAGAGTTTACTTGTGTAGTCTATGCCTCAAAGTTTAAAAAACATTACAGAAGAGGAAGGAATTAAGGTGCAACAGTCACAGAGCAAAATGAACGTGAGGTAGGATAAGCTCACTGACCACCCACTGTGATTCTTCTAGAGCTGCGTTGTCCAATAGAGCAGCCCCTAGCTACAATGGTATTTAGATTTAGATTGAAATTAATTAAACTTAAATACAATTAAAATTAAGTTCCTCAGCCTAACTAGCCATATTTCAAGGGCTCAATACTACATGTGGCTAGTGACTTTCATATTGGATATGCACAAATAGAACATGCCCATCATCATGGAATGTTTCATGGGATAGTTCTGGCCTAGGGCTGACCAGCTGAAGAAGTACTGAAATGATTCAGCCTCCATTCAAAGGCATGACTGATAGTTTTTGAGCATTTAAATCTAAGTGCTTACAGGCATTATTTCAGTGAATCCTTCCAAAGATTCTATGAAGCAAGGACTCTGACAATCCTTATTTTACAGATAGGGCAACTCAAGCACAAAGAGGAGGTCATTGCCTAAGGTTGCATTATACCACCTTGCAATGTGACATGCTTAGTGTGGTCTTGGAGCACAGATATAGAACCCTGGATAGCTTTGGAGCAAAGGTTGATGTCTTGCAGAAGAAGAAAGAGGACCTATTCTGAAGTGACAACTGGAAGCTCATTGAGAAAATGCAAAGCTGTCAATGGGTTTTGGGCTGGGAGTTGAACACAGCTCTGATTTCTGCCTTTTCAAAGCAATAATGAATGGCTACTGGAATCCTTTCAAGTGAATGTTCTCATTAGGGCTTTACATGGCCTGAAGATGAATTAAATGGTCAACTTCATTCTTAATGGCTTTTATGCCTAAGTCAGAGGAAGTGTATAAACAGATATTTATTAAAGAGCTGCTGGGTCCAGACTATATGGTGAGCCCTGGAGATACAATCATACTTAAGCCAGTCTCTGCCCTCACTTGTCCATCCATAACAGCTAACACTTACTGAGCATTTCCTCTCTACCTACTGCTTTTTGTGCATATCTCATTTAGTCCTTACATCAAATCTATTAAATGAGCACATCATCATGATTCCTATTACACATTTAGAGGAAAAAAACTTAGAGAGGTGAAGTCACTTGCCCAAGGTCACACATCTTCTAATCTCCATCCCACATGCTGTAGAATGAGAGGCAAAATCCCTGGAAGCCAGCCTAGGGTTTCCGACTACCTGTCTCTGGGCTGTGATCCAGAGAGGGAGAACGCCATTGTCCCACCACTCAGTCTTGTTCTGTGTGGTCTTGAAGGAGTACTTCCAGCCCGTCTCAGTGTTGAACATCATGTTGTGAATGACTCCGTGATCTTCAATCCAGCGACCTTGGGGATAAAGGAGGGAAGGTATAAGTTTTATGAACAGGTTGCTAGAAGTATTAATGTGGTCGTAAGACCACCCCCACCCCCAGCCCCTGCACAACCAACATCCTTTTGGTTGGTCTATGTCTTCTGGTGGAGTATGACTCCAGATGGCCACCCGCGGATTTCAGATTTGTTTTTCTGGTGGTGCAAATATTGGTAGCCACAAAGGAAGTGTAATCACATCTCACATATGTCAGATTGGATCTGCTCCTGGAACAGACTTCACTGCCCAGGGGGAAGCTGATGTTGGCTGTGGAAATCGATTAGGGAGGGAGGAAGGCAGGGCATAGGGAGGCTAGGTTTCTTGGGTTATTCTGCATCCAGAAGCTGAGAGCCTGGGATTTGGGTACTTCCTGTGAGATTATTTTTCTTATCTTCTGCGTGTGATAATTTGATTCAATATTTAACATCCAGTTGGCCTGTCTCTCAGTTAACCTCCCAGGGTTTCTCCTAGGACTCCCATGGGCTATGCTGTTTGAGGGTACCAATGGAATCAAGAGGGATTTCTAGACATAGATGAGTATAGACTTATTTCTATCTACTTGAGGGAGGAAGATAGATGTTGGGGAATGCAAGTAAGCTAGATTGTTCTGAAAGACACAAGACTCGAACAAAGTGCGAAAAATCCCTGTGGTCGGTCTTACACTGAGCCAGGGAAAGGGGGAGTGCATATGGGGGGCAGTCTAAGGGGAGAACTGGGATCCTCCTCCCCCCACCTCCTGGAAGAGAAAGACTCTGGATGACCCTACTGACTGTAATAAGATAGTCATGATTTCTCTCATGTTCAAGGTAAACTGAGGCAGAGCATTCATGATCATGCAACAGGGAAGGGAAAAACTCTCTGCTAGATCAGAGTCACCACCAGGCTGCTGGTGGGTAAAGTCCCCCGAGGGTGACCAAGTCTTTCAACTGGGATGGTGCAAAAAGAGTTGTTGCTGTAAAGCTTCAAACACTTGTTTTGCCTTGTAGGTAGGCCGGATAGCCAAGCACATGTGGGATTACTGGAAAGAACTTGTACTGCTGCCAGGGTTTGGGGCCTTTCAGTGTCAAGATTCTTGGTGAAGGATCAAATCAGATTGTCAGCAGAGGAAGGCCAGTGACCTAGAGTCCACGAGAGCTGTTGCGTGGGTCACCGGCCAGCAGTGACCACGGAACTCTGTGGATGGCTCGATGAAAAACACGCGAAAAAAAACAACATGCACAGAGACAGACTAGTTTCTGTGGGGAAGTAGGGACGAAATGGCCACCCCCCCTAAGTGGGGAGCATGCCGATTTACAGTCCATACCTGCTTTTATTGGGCTCATTCTGCATAATAATTCAGGTAAAATACAGTACTCATTAGGGGGAAGTAAGGAACCATAGAAAACAAGGAACTCTGCTGGTCTATTTTGAGTCAGGGTCAAAGAACTGTAAGACTGAGAAATAAACTAACTTCCTCCTAAGACCCTTCTCATTCAACTGAGAGCATTCTAAACAAAGAAGGTTTCATAGTAATTTACATATTCTTTCTTAGGCCTGATCACCCGGGGAATCCGCCCTTTTAAGCACAGAGCTGCACCACCCTGTCATTGTTTCAAGCTTAGGTGGAGCAAGAGAACTAAGGCAACCAAGAGATAAGGAGTTTTTCTCCCAGACGATGAAATCTCAGGCTATGTGAAAGCCGAGGAGCGAGGGTCCATCAGCCCCTTTTGCTGCAGCCCCCCAAGTCCGTCTTTTGGGGGGCCTCCCAAAGTGATTGTGCCTGTCTTAGGTTGTTCCCCCCTTGGGGAATCTTACCCGTCTTTGGCTAACCGACCAAGCTTTTTGGGGTTCAGTCATGAATAAAGCAGCAGAAGCAGCATTCCTGCCAGGGAGATAAGCTTTTGTCTCCTTGCTGGCTTACGGTTCCCTTAGCCTTAGCCTAGGTGGGGGTTTCAGCTTCTGATACCAGTCAGGGCAGTTCCCAACAGAGAGCTCAGTGCCAACCCTGACATGACATCTGAACTTGCTGTGTGAACTTGAGCAAGCACCTAACCTTCCTGGCTTCCTGGCTTCCTGGCCACCCAGGAGCAGGGGTAGGTTCATGTAATGGAATCATGGCACACATTTACCAGGCCATGCTCCAACACCTCTCCCAAGTCTCCTTTAGGGACATTAATTCATGTAATTCTACCAATAGTCCTGCAAGTGGGTATTTCTATAGTTCCCTTTAGAGATTTCTCCCTTTATAGGAAATTGAGGCATAAAGTTTGCTTAAGGTCATAGAGCAGAGCTGGGTTTTGAACCTGGGAGGTTTTGTTATAACCCATGCTTTTTTTTGTTATTTTATTCAGGTAAAATTCCCATAACTTAAAATCAAGCATTAACATTTAAAGTGTGTAATTTAGTGATATTTTGTGCACTCACAGCACTATGAAATAATCACCTTTCTAGTTCCAAGATATTTTCTTTTTCTTTTTTTTTAAGATTTTATTTATTTACTTCCAGACAGAGGAGAAGGGAAGGAGAAAGAAGAAAGAGAGGGAGAGAAACATCAGTGTGTGGTTGCCTCTCCCACCACCCTCCCCACTAGGGACCTGGCCCTCAACCCAGGCATGTGCCCTGACTGGGAACTGAACTGGTGACCATTTGGTTTGCAGGCCTGAGCTCAATCCACTGAGCCACACCTGCCAGGGCCCAAGATAGTTTCATCACCCTCAAAGGAGACCCTGTATCCATTAGCAGTCACCCCCCCACTCATTCCACTATTTCCTTTCCCTGTTGGCCACTAATCTGCTTTCTATCTCTATGGATTTGTCTATTCTGTACATTTCATAGAAATTAAATCATACAATATTGACTTTTTGTGCCTGGTTTCTTTTACTGAACACAATGTTTTCCAGGTTCATCCATTCTGTAGAATGCGTCTGTACTTCTTTCCTTTTCTGGCTGAGTAATATCCATGTGTGGATAGGGCAGAATTTATTTACTCATTCATAAGTTGATGGACATTTGTGTTATTTACATTTTTTTGTCTATTGTGAATACTGCTGTTATGAACATTCATGTACAGGTGTCTGAGTTTCTGTTTTTCTTTTGGGAGCAGACTTGCTGGTTTATATGGTAACTCTGTTTAAGTTTTTGAGGAACTGCCAAACTATTTTCCACAGTGGCTGCACTATTTTACATTCTCACCAGCAATGTGCAAGGGTTCCAATTTCTCCACATCCTCAACATTTGTTATTTTAATTTAAAAAATACTTTATTGATTATGCTATTATAATACTCCCACTTTTCCCTCTTTGTGCCCCTCTGCTCAGTAACCCCATTCCCTCCAGCAATCTCACCCCTTAGTTCATGTCCATGGGCCGTGCATATAAATTCTTTGGCTTCTCCATTTCCTGTACCATTCTTAACATCTTCCTGTCTACTTTGTACCTACTAATTATGTTTCTTAGTCCCTGCATGGTTTCCCCCACTCCCTCCCTTCCCCTATCCAGCTGATAACCCTCCAAATGATCTCTGTATCTATGATCCTGTTTCTGTTCTGGTTGTTTGCTTGGTTTGTTTTTTTTAGATTCACTTGTTGATAGTTGTTAAATTTTGCCATTTTAATGTTCATAGTTTTGATCTTCTTCTTTTTCTTAAATAAGTCTCTTTAACATTTCATGTAATAATGGCTTTGTGATGATGAACTCCTTTAACTTTACCTTATCTGGGAAGCACTTTTTCTGTCCTTCCATTCTAAATGATAGCGTTGCTGGATAGAGTACTCTAGGTTTTTAGTCCTTGCTTTTCATGACTTTAAATACTTCTTGTGAGTCCCTTTTTGTCTGCAAAGTTTTTTTTGAGAAATCAGCTGACAGCCTTATGGAAACTCCTTTGTAGGCAACTCTGCTTTTCTCTTGCTGCTTTTAAGATTCTCTCTTTATCTTTAACCTTTGGCATTTTAATCATGGTGTGTCTTGGTGTGGTCCTCTTTGGGTCCAACTTGTTTGGGACTCTCTGTGCTTCCTGGACTTGCATATCTACTTCCTTCACCAAGTTAGGGAAGTTTTCTTTCATTATTTTTTCAAAAAAGTTTTCAATTTCTTGATCTTTCTCTTCTCCTGGCATCCATATAATTTGGATGTTGGTAAGGAGATGTCCCAGGGGCTCCTTATACCATCCTCATTTTTTAAAAATTATTTTTCCTTCTTGTTGTTCTGGTTGAATGCTTATTTCTTCCTTATATTCCAAATCATTGATTTGAATCCCAAACTCATCTCCTTCACTGTTGGTCCCCTGTAGATTTTTCTTTATTTTTCTTAGTGTAACCTTCATTTCTTTCTGGGTCTTTTTTTATGTTGTTGCTGTACTCAGGGAGTTCTTTGAGCATCCCGGCCATCAGTGTTTTGAACACTGCATCTGATAGGTTGGTTATCTCTGTTTCATTTAGTTCTTTTTCTGGGGTTTTGTTCTATTCTTTCATTTGGGCCCCATTTCTTTGTCTCATCAATTTTGCAGCCTCCCTCTGTTTGTTTCTGTGTGTTAGGTAGAGATGCTTTGACTCCCTGTCTTAGAAGCATGGCCTACTGTAGAAAAGTCACCTATAAGTTGTGTGAGACAGAGCCTTAGGTAATTGCCAGGGTGGGGTAACCTGCTTCACTGCTTTGTGGCTTTTTTTAAGGGGGAGGGCTTGGAGAAGCAACAATGTCACTGCCTAGCTTCTGGAGTTTTGTCCCGCAATCACCCTGTGTAACTTGTGCCCTTCCAGCTGTTTCCCTGGGGCTGAATCCTAGAGGGGGTGGGTCTGCGTATGTTTTAAGTCTGTGAGGGCCCTTTAAGTGGATTCTCCTGAAAATACAGCAGTTTCTTCCACTGGTCCAACTCCCACTGGTTTTTACAGCCAGAAGTTATGGAGATTTACTTTTGTGGTGTGGGAAACCTGGGCTCTGTGGTCTGACCTGGGTCTGGGATCACTTGCTCCCAAGGTATCCCTCCCAGTTTTTATCTACCACAT